CACAAAGCTTTTGGAAACTCAAGTTTGGAAACGAATGGAAAATCAATTGTTGTCACTCTTAAAAAGTCATGATAAATCCAAATTGTAGGTGACCTTAAACCCACAAAAAAAAAATCTAGGGAGGCGTCCTTGTTTTGTCCTGGGTTTCAACATTACTTCTGCCAGCTGTGGTTTTTCCATTGAAACAGATATAGCGTCTGACATTTCCCTGGGCTAACCTACTAGATTTTGGTAATATATCCTTCCGGTGGGATATTCAAACGGAAACTTTTTAAATGTTCCCACTGATCAGCATGAGATTTTTGTTGCACTTTGACTGAGGGGATAATCCTAAGTTTCCCCTTGTAGAGCCCTTTTAACAAGACCTTGTGAGCAGTATTCAAAACTACTTAGACCCGCCACGCAACCTTTTGGGTACTCAAACCCAACAAATTCCATAATAATCATACCCTTTCAAAAACCTACTTATTACAAGATTCTAAACTTCGTACACTGAAACGAAAGCTGCAAAGGCCTAGCATAGAAAACATGTACCCCTGGAAGCTGAGGCTTTTCCAAACTCCCCCTTGCTGTGCCAGGAGCGATACAGGCTGGGGCAAACAACGGGAAAAATTTAAGGGTTTAATGCTCACACCCCCTTAGCCGGCATGGGGGGCAAAAATAGAATAAGGGAAACAAAAACTGGGCGGGATCCGCCCCTCACCCCTTTGCTAGGGCGATGATTAGTCAGGTTTGGGGCTCACATTAGCTAAAAAATCCCAGTACCACACGGGCAAATTAAATGACAAATGTGATGAAAGGGAGAGACTTTTTTTGCTTTATCTCGAAAGGGAGATACTGCAACATTCCTTTACTAATTAAATTTGATGCAGCACTAATGGGGGCAACTCCACGTCCCCTGGTGAGGATGGTATTACTTACAACATACCAATTTGCTGTGTTGAGTACCAGGTAACCATACTTGAATTTTATAACATGAGCTATGAAACTGGGGAGCTCCCTCAATTTTGGCCCAACAGCCCATCATTCAATTTTCCTAAGCCAATCAAAAAAATGCATTTCGCCCAATATCCTTACTACTGCTTGTGTAAAACATTTGAGAGAATGTTTCTTAATCGTCTCATGTACAAATCAAAAAATTTTTTTGTCCCCCCGGTTTACATGCTTTCATGCGGGAAAGGACTGCATCTTTGCATACCACCTTTCTCCCCCTGCAACTGCAGCTCATAACTCCCTTTCCTTGCCCTTTAAATCCGTTTTCGATGTAGCCAACCACTGTAATCATTAGTGAACTTGCCAAATGGATGTTGGAGGAGGCTTCTCCCGCTGGTTTAAAGGTTCCCTGCCCAAACAGAAAATCGTCTGTGTTTTTAGGGACATAGAAGGTAACAAAGATTTTGAATTGGAAAACCCCACAGGGAGGTGTGTCAGTCCCCACTGTTAAATTTTTCTAATTAATGCATTACTTAATGCTATGCCTTCACCCCATATTATGTGATTATTTGTTTAATAAAATAAGTTTCACACCACCGGATTCTCCAACCCCCAAAAACATTTTTAAATCATGCAGCCTGGTTCGGGACCGGGGGTTATAATCTTACTGTAAAACAAAGATACTCAATAGGCGTCCCCCTCAAAAGAGAGGCACATTTCTCAATCCAATTTGATGAGGGGTCTCTTCAAAATATGTAAGCGATACGGGTACTAGCTTTGGGGTTCCACCTTGGACCTTTGTAACAAACTTTGCCCCAAATACAAAGAAAGACTAAGAGCACTTAGGTTTGGCGGGCTTCACCCCGGGTATGGTGCTATGTTAAAATTTGTGAAAATGATTATCTTGCTTATTTAATCATTGGTTGATTTTTGCTGCGCCACATGCTTTGTGTCTGATGGGAAACTTGGAGGGGTGGAAAAAACTGCAGAACAACAATGAGGATCATTTTGGATGCCCTCGTTCTGCCCAAAATTTTTAAAAATCAAAAGAACTTGATATTCCCAAAATCAAATTTGTGTTTTCTGAAGAAATATCCAATTGGGGGGTTTAAAATTTCTCAGGCAAGCTCATTCAAACCCCTGCCAAACCCTCCAAAATTTCCTCACACTGGTGAACATCCTTAGATGGATCGAAAAACTGGAACGACCCCGCATGAATCAAAACTGATCTATGTCAATAAGGCAACAGCGGCACTTCTCCCTCCATGGAATATTTCCCCCCTTCCCAAAATACCAATTTCCTCCATTTCCCCCCAAAAAAACTTCTAAACACAACCAAAACTTCGCCTTGAAGCCAAACATGAGGGCCTTAAACGTTTTGAAAACTTGTCACACAGCACACACTCTCGCAAATTATTTACGCTGATGGGTTTTGTTCCCAAACCACTGGGGGCAGCTGGGAGCTGCTGTTGTCGTACGAGGGGGTCTCAAAAAAAATTGGGAGCACGCACCCAAAAATTGGGGCTCTACCCCCTTTAGACGAACGTTTGCATACTCCCCTTTCACTGAAATGCATCTATGTACAAAGATTGATAGTTTTTAAATTTTAACTATTCCTGTCATCCATAAATGCCTCAAATCTTAAACATATATTGTGGGATCTTGTGTCAAAACCAGACGATTATGGAACATGTTGATATTAAGACTAGTAACTGCATTAAAAGTTTGTAAATTTTTCAATGTTTTGTTTAGTTGAACATGTTTTTTACGAGTCCCCATCCTGGAGCATACGGGAAACTTATGACTAGTTAAGATAATAGGTAATAGTTTTATTTCGATTTCTATGTATAAGTCCTGGGTGAGGAAAATGTTAATTTGGGGAATCAAATATGGGGAGGGCTAGGTTTTTTTTAAGGTGTATGATACAAGAGAATAGGGGTTTTCATGCAGTTTGCTACGGGGGAGGTGTGTCATTTTCCCGGAGAGAGTTTCCGGGGGGCAACGCCCCCCGGCCCGGGCTGGCCCAAAGGCCTCCTGGTGGTCAGAGCCTGTCAACCAGGGTGTTTTGCGGGTGACGCAAACCAACGTACGGCCAAGCCCCGGCTTGGGCAGGGGAAACCCACTTTGGGGCTTGTCCAGTTTCACTTGAAAACTCCAGGGGTCTGTTGGTAATCCCCCTTATGTATGCTGGGAGGCATTTGAACGTCTCGGGGCCCCCGACACTTTTGTATGGTCTCTTAACGTCTAGTGAACCCCGCTTTTTTATTGGAGGGGGTTTGCATCGCTGCAATCTTTTTTCTTTCGTGTGAGTGATTTTCGTGGCAAGTTCGGGACTTCCCTCTAGGATTTTCCGGGGGATTAATCTGTATCTCTCCCCCCTGCTTCCAGGATTACAGGTTTAGGAACCTCAAGCGCTCCCAGTAATTGAGTGTTTTATCTCCGTTATGCGGCCGTGAAGGTTCTCTGTACTTTTTTTTGGTCAGCAATTTTTACCGCCCTTGAAAGGTGCTGTTAGTGTGCAGCAAAATTCCAGCCTAAAAACAAGTGACCTAAGAGTTCATCAGGGGCTTGGCCCCTGTTTTGAAGGTAAATTTTTTTTGTACTTGATGAAGATTTAATTTCCTCGTGTTTTCCTATCTGGGGGTAAAATTTAAATTTTCATCGTTGAAATTCAATTGTTTTCTGCAGCCCACTGAAAGATTTGGTTTATGTCCCCCTGGGGCCTTGCAGTGTCTGCAATGGAAGACACTGTCATGCAGATTCGGGTGTCATCTGCAAAGGAAGACACGGTGCTGTGGCTGACATCCTTGTCTATGTCAGATATGAGGATGAGGAAGAAGATGGGAGCGAGTACTGTGCCTTGTGGAACAGAGCTTTTCACCGTAGCTGCCTCGGACTTTACTCTGTTGACTACTACTCTCTGTGTTCTGTTAGTGAGGAAATTATAGATCCGTCGACCGACTTTTTCTGTTATTCCTTTAGCACGCATTTTGTGCGCTATTACGCCATGGTCACACTTGTCGAAGGCTTTTGCAAAGTCTGTATATATTACATCTGCATTCTTTTTGTCTTCTAGTGCATCTAGGACCTTGTCGTAGTGATCCAATAGTTGAGACAGACAGGAGCGACCTGTTCTAAACCCATGTTGCCCTGGGTTGTGTAACTGATGGGTTTTTAGATGGGTGGTGATCTTGCTTCTTAGGACTCTTTCAAAGATTTTTATGATATGGGATGTTAGTGCTATCGGTCTGTAGTTCTTTGCTGTTGCTTTACTGCCCCCTTTGTGGAGTGGGGCTATGTCTGTTGTTTTTAGTAACTGTGGGACGACCCCCGTGTCCATGCTCCCCTCCATAGGATGGTAAAGGCTCGTGATAGGGGCTTCTTGCAGTTCTTGATGAACACGGAGTTCCATGAGTCTGGCCCTGGGGCAGAGTGCATGGGCATGTCATTTATCGCCTGTTCGAAGTCATTTGGCGTCAGGATAACATCAGATAGGCTTGTGTTAACCAAATTCTGTGGCTCTCTCATAAAAAAAATTCATTTTGATCTTCGACTCTCAGTCTGGTTAGTGGCTTGCTAAAAACTGAGTCATATTGGGACTTGAGTAGCCGAAGTGGCTAGTTTATTGTGCACCTCATATCCATCTTGTGGACGGTAGTGCAAGAGCATATGGATACACAAAAGGCCTAGGAACTAGGCCCCAAAAGGGTTAACAGATATACACAATCGGTTTTTTTGTCTATATATCTACAGTTCACTTATCTGTTACAAGCAAATTTAGGAAATTTGTTTAGTATACTAAACAAATTTCCTAAATTTGCTGGTATCTTATTTTCATTAATAAGATATCTTGACATGTCACATAGGTTATTATACTGTCTCTGTATTCCTCTAAGTGGATAATTAAGCACATAGTGTTCAAGCCAGTGACATATGTCTGATCACATCAGGGAGATAAGATGTTTTCTAACTGTAGTTTTGAAAGTGATGATTGTGTCTGCAGTTCTAGAGTTTTCAGGTAGGGTGTTCCATATTTTAGGTATAATATGCCAAATAATATCATTCTGACAGCCTTTATTATTCTTTTATCTTATGTCTGCTATAATTATTAAATAAATGGTACAGGCAGATAAAGTTTATTAGTAATAATAGCGTAAGATATTTGGTTCCTCCTACTCTGCTACAGCTCTTTCCACACTGTAATGATGTTCAGTGGTAAATTTAGTGTATTAGAAAGAAAAATAGACAAAAAATAATAAAAAAATTCATCATATACAATACAGTATTATATTCATGTGTGGAGTTAATCAAGTAGGAACAGGCCTATTTAGGATAGTTTCTGCTGGCCTATAGGTCAGTGATAAATTCATGTGGGAGATTTAATCCAGTAGGGATAGGCCTCTTTAGGGGTGTACCTATTTGCCTATGGGTTAGTATTATATTCATGATGGAGACCTAATAAGGTAGATGCAGATAAAAAAGTTTAGAGGAACAGCTTGGGTTTCCAGACAGCATTTTGAAAAAAATGAACGAAAAATAACGAAAAATAAACGAAAATTTATGAAAAGCAAATGAAACATGAAGGAAAAATTATGAAAAATTAAAGAAATTTATGAAAACCAAACAAAAATAATAAAAATGAACGAAAATTTATGAAAAAACGAACGAAAATTTATGAAAAATTAGCAAAAAATTATTGAAAATGAATGAAGATTTATGAAAAAATTAATGGAAAATTTTGAAATTATTTTATTATTTTTAGTTACATATTTTGCTATTTTTAATTGTTTTTAGTTATTTTTATATTATTCTAAGTTTTTAATTATTTTTATTTTTGTAGTTATTTATTTTTAGTTATTTTTCATTTTTATTTTCATTATTTTTAGTTACATTTTAATATGTTTGCCAATTTTAGTTATTTTTTACTTAGTTTTTATTTTTTCATTATTCTTAGTTTTTAGCTTTTATTTTTCATTATTTTTATATTTTATTTTTAGTTACTTATCGGTTTTTAATTTTTTGTAATTTTTGCTTTTTTTCATTATTTTTAGTTATATTCCCTTATTATTTTATTTTTCATTATTTTTAGATGTTCTCCTTTATTTGTTTTTTTTTATTTTTCGTTATTTTAAGTTATTATTTTTAGTTATTTGTTAATTTTTTTTTTAGCTTTTCTTTGTTTTTAGTTATTTTTCAATATTTTTAGCTATTGGCTTAATCTATCTTTTCTTTCTTTCCAGCAGCATAGTACGGACAGAGATCCTGGATCATGGATGACCCTCTGAATTGAAAAACAATGCCTGCCTGAAAACAGCAATGAGCAAGAGACCTCTTTCTCCCTGTCAGTTCTATGGTTCACCATGTCTTTCATAGACCTGTCTCCCAAGTTCACTCCTATTATTATTATTATAATCAAAAAGAAGCGCTAAGCCACAAGGGCTATACAGCGCTGCAGGGTAGGGAAGGAAGCGAGGGTATTGGATGGCAGAAGGGAGGAGGGATGATCAGTAGGTTACAGAAAACAGCGGGGCAGGGGATAGTACGGGGGTAGAGGGTAGCAAGAGAATGAAGTAGAAAGGGCTGAAGGTATCAGAATTTGTGAAGTAAGTCAGTTGTTGTCAAAAAGTCAATGAGAGAGTCCGGATGAAAGGTGGGTCCATCAGCGAGAAGGGAAGGTAAAGAGAGAGCAGCGGAGCGAAGACGACGACAGAGGTAAATTCTGCGTGCTCGTTGATAAAGTGGGCAGTCCAACAGAATGTGGCTGACTGATAATGGAGCTTGGCAATTCTCACAGAGAGGAGCAGGGCACCTCTCCATGATTATTATTATTATAATCAAGGGGGAAGCGCTAAACCCGGAGGATTATACAGCGCCTGGGGGGGGATGTGGAAGGCATTCAGGCTTAATTCGGGGAACTGGAGCACAGATCCAATTCCCTAAATCAAGAGCCCCTCACCAACATCAAGGAACCTTCCTTGAGGGGACCTCTCCATGAGATATCCATGAGTAAGACGAGTATGGCCAATGCGAAGACGGGACAGAGTAGTCTCCCAACCTCGACACTGGTGATAAGAAGACGGCCAGTAACCTATACTCGGTTTAATAGATTGAAGTTTGTTGCCGAGCATAGTAGACCAACGTTGTTGCCAACGGGTGTGAAGGTGGGAAGATATTGCAGCAAAATAGTCCGTAAATGGAATACCTCTATATGAAACTGGTAGGTCATGTACTGCTGACCGCGCAGCAGTGTCTGCCTGTTCATTGCCCTGTACGTCGACATGACCAGGGACCCAACAAAAAACAATATCTTTATGCTTGGTAAAGATGCGGCGTAGCCAAAGTTGGATACGGAGGACTAAGGGGTGAGGTGTATCAAATTTCTGTATAGCCTGTAAAGCACTAAGGGAGTCTGAGACAATCACAAATGATGACACAGGCATAGATGCAATACGGATAAGTGCTGCAAGGATGGCATACAATTCAGCAGTAAAAATACTAGCCGAAGATAGTAAATGCCCTCGTACGACGCTGTCCGGAAACATTGCTGCGAATCCTACGCCGTCAGAAGATTTAGAGCCATCTGTGTACACAGCAATGGCATGAGAATGAGAGTGGAAGTGGTCAAGAAAAAGAGAGCGGGAAGCAACGGTAGACAGTTGGGCTTTCGAGCAAGGGAGAGAGAAAGAACAGACTCAAACAGCTGGAACTTCCCAGGGGGGTAGGGAAAAGTGAGATGCTACATGAACATAGAAAGGTGGTAATTGAAGAGAAGACAAGAGCGAATGAAGGCGAAGAGAGAAGGGACAGAGTAAACAGGGGCGGTGAACAAATAAAGAATGTCTACTAAGATCAGTGACCATTCTATAAATGGAAGGATTGCGGAGATCATGAGAGCGTACATGATAGCGAAGGCAATGGGCATCACGGTGATCGGATAAGGATGGAACGTTCGCTTCTGCACAGAGGCTCTCGACAGGGGAAGAGCGAAAAGCACCAAGGCATAAACGTAATCCTTGGTGATGAATGGGGTTAAGGCTAGAGAGAGTAACAGGAGATGCCGCTGAATAGATCTGGTCACCATAATCAAGTTTCGATAAAATGAGGGTGGAATGTAGGCGAAGGAGGGTTCGACGATCAGCTCCCCATGAAAGATGAGCAAGGGTTTTAAGAAGGTTCAGCCGCTGTGACAAGTTGCCTTCAGAGAGGTAATGTGAGGTTTCCAGGATAACCTACGGTCAAAGAGGAGGCCCAGAAACTTGACTGTATCACGTTCAGGGATACGGGAGCCATAGAGGTACAAAGGATGATCGGAGATGACAGAGCGTCTAGTGAAAGCAATTTGGTGGGTTTTAGTGCTGGAAAATTTAAACCCATGTGTGGTGGCCCAATTGGAAACACGGTCGACTGCATGCTGGAGAGAAACTGTAATGATGTGACAGTCAGCGCCTGCACAGGCAATAGCGAAGTCATCAACATAGAGTGATGACCGAATATTTGATGGAAAACTCGAGGCCAAATCATTAATAGCAAGGAGAAAAAGTGTTGTGCTCAGAACACATCCCTGGGGACACCTTCAGCTTGGATAAAGTCCGGGGAGAGCACATTATTAACCTGAACACGGAAATGCCTGTCAGTTAAAAAGTTCTTAAGGAAGGATGGTAGATTGCCTCGAAGGCCTAAGGAGTGAGCTTGGGCTAAAATATTATACCTCCAAGTTGTGTTGTATGCCTTCTCAAGGTCAAAAAATATGGCAATAACTGAGTGGTTATTCGGAAAGGCATTACGAACATACGTATCTAAGCGTAGTAAGGGGTCTATGGTAGAACGTCCCTTACGAAAGCCATATTGACGAGTGGAGAGACTGTTGTGTGTCTCTAAATACCACACTAAACGTCTATTTACTAGGCGTTCCATCACTTTGCAAACTGCACTGGTAAGAGCAATGGGACGATAGTGGGAGGCTTCATGTCCCGAAGTGCCTGGTTTGCGGAAAGGGAGAACAATGGCGGATTTCCACAGCTGTGGAAGAACTCCTTGTGACCAAATAAGATTGTAAAGGCGTAATAGGACTGCAACGGCTGACTGATGTACATGTTGTAGCATACGAATATGAATGTCGTCGGGCCCAGCTGCCGATGATCGGCAAGCTTAGAGTGTTGCCTCCAGTTCTTGAAGTGTAAAAGGCACATTATACTGTTCTTCTCTGAGAGAAGAGAAAACCAAGGGTGCTAACTCTCTGGCAGACTTTGAGGAAAGAAATGAGGGACATAGATGGAGTCCCTGAGAAATACGGACCAGATGATTGCCAATTTCATTGGCAACATCTAGTGGGTTTGCTATATCAGCACCGGCAACCCGCAGAACAGGAGCCGGGTCAGGAGAATATTTACCACTCAGTTTTCGTACTTTTTTCCAGACTGCACTCATAGAGGAAGCAGAGGTGATGGTGGAGACATAATCTCGCCAGCAAGTGCGTTTAGCATCACGGATGACACGGTGAGTGATCGCACGCTTGTGCTTAAAATCAAGAAGTCTCTCCGTGGTTCTACTGTACCGGTACCTGCCCCATGCAGTGCGTTTCAAACTTACTGCATGAGCACAAGCAGGAGACCACCAAGGCACGCATTTCTGAGAATGCCTGCCCGAAGTTTGAGGTATACAATTAGAAGCTGCGCTCATCGATGGAGGATGAAGAAGGAACCTCTCTAAAAACAGTTAGGTGTGAGTAAAGGATCCAATTTGCCTGATCAAATTGCCAGCGTGGGATGCGAAGAGGTGGTGAATATGAAGGGGAATTAAGAATGATTGGGAAATGATCGCTGTCATGTAAGTCCGGGAGAACAGACCAAGTGAAGTCTAATGCGGCGGAGGAAGAGCAGACTGAGAGATCGATGCAAGAGAGTGAGTCCGAGGATCAAAATGGGTGTGAGTACCTGTATTTAAAACATGGAGGGGGTGGGTGGCAAGAAAAGCCTCTAACTGAATGCCACGGGAATCACAGTGAGACCCCCCCAGAGGAAATGGTGGGCATTAAAATCACCAAGTAACAGAATCGGTGGCGTAATGACGAAACAAGAAAGGCAAGATCCGGAATAGATAATGCCCGAGAAGGAGAGAGATATAAAGAACAGAGCGTATACCACCTATGCAAGTGGATACGGGCTGCTGTGTAATGCAGCGAAGTACGAACAAATAGCTGATGGTATGGAATATCAGTGCGTAGAAGGACACTTTCATTAAAGATCCCATCAGGAAAATGATCTGAAGAATACAATATATTATAGCCTGAGATGGGAGAGATAACAGCAGAGTGTAATTTTGGTTCCTGTAAGCAAACACCAACAGGGGAAAACTGGGAGTAACATCTGAAGCTCACCCCGATTACCCGAGGCCGCGTATATTCCACTGTAAATAGGCCATGTTTGGCAATGATAAAGATACCTGAAATCCACAGGTAAGGGTTCCTACGGACTAGAGGGGTTAGAAAAGTCCACATGCGGAGGCAGTGGAAAACGTTCAAGCAGCGAAGGAATGGTGCGCTGTGAAGAAAGGAGTTGCGCAGATGGAGCAGAGGAGAGAGAAGGAACGAAGGGTGGATCAGTGTCCATTGATGGTTTGGTCTCTGCAATATATTCAGAGATTGCTTCAAGTGTTTCGGAATTCAGAGACGTCATATGGGAGACAATATTGGAAATGGTAGGGGGAGGATGAGTAAAGATTGGAACTGTAATGGACTGTACCAAGGTAGGGGGGGGGCGAAAGGGTGGAGGGAACTGGAGAAGCGTGGAAGGGGACAGAAGAGGCAGAAACCTGGGAGGTGGCAGAAGAGGAAGAAACTTGGGAGGGAACAGGGGAGGAAGGTACAGTACAAGGAGGAGGGTGAACCTCATCACTTGTAACAGAGCCAGTGAGAGGGGAAGAACCAGGTACAGAGACAGGGAAGGTAAAATGAGGTGGAAGATGGGTAGGAGGTGTTAACGGACCTTTTTTTGACTTTTGAGAAGCAGAGGGAGGATTAGGAGGAGGTGTCATACGAGATCTCGTCGCTACTGAGGCTTGTGAGGGAGAACACGAAGAAGCGAGATCAGACTGAGGTGTTGAAGTAGGGACGTCTGAGCCTAGGACAGCAAAAGAATTAGATACAGGAGTGACTATGGGAGAGGTAACCACAGAGGTGGTTGCAGAAGATGGGATCCCAGAAGTGGGGGGACGTTTTGAAACACGGGAATAAGAAACACGAGGTAGTCTCCCTTGGAAGCGGAGATGAGAAAACTGCCATGGCATAAGGGAGACCTTCTGCCTCTTTGAGGTAACGGATTTCCCGCTCGTTTAAGTAGACTTGACAACGGCGAGAGTACGAAGGGTGAGCCTCATGACAATTAAGGCAAGAGGGAGGTTGATTGCAAGACATATTAGAAATGGTACATCGCACCACAGACTGGCATTCGGCGATAGATCTGCAATATTTCGCTGGATGGCCAAATCGCCAGCAATTTCTACACTGTTGCGGTGTAGGGATCACCTTTCGAACTTGTAACCGATGTCCTGCTACATAAACTGAGGATGGGAGTTCACGGCTGTCAAAAGTTAAATGAGCCACATTGCTAGGGTATCGTCTCCGTCCGCGGGCAGGAAGCACATAAGTGTCTACCTTGAGGATTGGGAAATCTTGGAGTTCCAGCTGTTCAAGAATGTCAGTGCCACATGTCTGGAAATTTTGTTGAACTATGGTATGGGGCAGAATGACGGTACCACTACATGAATTGAAGGAATGATGTTTTTCAATAGTGACAGGAACAGTATCGATATGGGAAAGACGTGAAAGCTCATGAGCCTGGGTAGCATTCTGTACGGTGATGATGCTCGTACCGCTCTTAAGAGCATGAAAAGAAATATCTTTACCAACATGGCGTAGGAGTGCCTTGCCAATACTGTGGTCAGAAAGATAGGGAGTAGAGGAAGTCGGTTGTAAAGTGAAGAATTTAGTCCATTGTGCAGTCTGAAACTGAGCATGGAAAGGTAGTGAAGGATGTGTCGATCTTTTCTGAGAAGAACGAAAAGGTGGAGAAGTATCATCAGCAGGTAATTGTCGTTGGCGTTTAGGCGTGGGACCAGAGTTGGTTCGACGTGGAACAGGCCGGCGATTCGAAAATTGCCGCACCGTAGAGGGAGAGGCCGGAAGCATAGTCAGAGGAGAGCGAAGGTCAGATAAATCGAAGGAGTCAGTTGAGGCCTCAGTACCTGAAGTGGGTGAGGAAACAGCACCGGCTAGAGGTACAGAGTGGTCGAAAGATGAGGCGGGGTCAGAACGGGGTGCGGTATCAAGAAGGGGCCCGGGGGTAGCAGGTTCATGGACTAAGGCTGCCATGGTTAGGTTACTTCTTTCTTTTTGTTTTTAAGAAAAAAAAGAAAGAAGAAAAGAAAATAAAAATAAAAAAAAGAATAAAAAAAGGGGGGACCGGGGAGGGATAGTTCCTAGGAGGAATGAAAGGGCCAGAAATCTCCCTCCGCGCCCAAGAGGACCTCAGCACCGCAAGTAGCGCAGATGCAGCATGGAACCCGTGCCATACCCTACCCATCATGCCAGTAAACTGGCAATCTGGGATAGCAACCTCACATCTGCCGAGCTATCTCGGTGGACAAAAGAGAGGGCGGCCGGAAATCCGCCACAAAGCATACCTCCTTCGGCCACCACCCCCGGAATCCGAAAGGTGGCTTCCAGAGATACACCCATCGCCCGAGAGACACCCAAATCCACCCTCCGGGATACCGGAGAGGGATCGGGACATCCCCAGGCAATCCAGATTCCACGGCAAACTACGCCACCGCCAAGAACCTCAATGGAATGGGATGGACCCCGGTACCCTTTCCCCTACCTAGGAACTAACGTGCCTGTGGAGGGAAAAAAAAAAAAATCCCGAAGGCCAAAAAGGAAGGGCAAAAAGGAGGGGTGGGGAGGAGGAGGAGGAAAGGAAAAAGGAGAGGATGGGATAGGGAACGGGGGATTGGGGGGTAATTAGGTTCGGTCTGAGGAAGGGGACCGACAGGTCTAATTCCTCAGATCAAGAGCCTCTTCACCACGCCAAGGAGCCCCCCTTGAAGAGGAAGTTCACTCCTAAATATCTGAACACATTCACTTCCTCCATACTTCCTCCCTCCAGTCTGATATCCAATCTTTCATTGCCTAAATTTTTTACCCTCATCACCTTGCTGTTTCATATGTTCACTTTTAACTTCCTTCTTTTACATTCTTCTTTCTTTCAACAAACCGGCCGTATCCCACCAAAGCAGGGTGGCCCAAAAAGAAAAACGAAAGAGGTTACTAGCCCCTTGCTCCCAGCATTTTAGTCGCCTCTTACAGCACGCATGGTTCTTTTACACACTCTCCCAAATTCATCCACTACTCTCTGTAACTTCTCTTCAGAATCTCCCAAAAGCAGTATCACTGGCCAAAAATAAAAAAGAAACTATGAAAACTTCCACTTTGTGTTAGATTCTTTATCTTTTAATCCCACACCCATTCCCTAGTTTTATTGGAAAATATTCTCCCTCTCCCTGCATATGTAGTAGTAAAACAACTTTCTGTATGAGAAATGTAAATTTTTAGTAAAAAAAAATTAAAACAGATGTAACATGACCTTCAAACAGGATTTCTGAAGAAATATATTTTAATAAAACTGTACAAGATTCATCAACTTTAATTTTACATCATTAGTGTGTGGCTGCCACATGTTTCTTATAAGATTGGTAGTAATTATATTAAGAGAGTGCATAACATGAACACTCTAGTAACACAGTACCATGTAGAGCATCAGCATCACTCTAAGCCACCTCAACACACATCTCACTTGATAAAATTCATAATTTCAAAAACAAAAAAATTTAAAAAATAAATTTTTACTAGGCAGGATAAATATCCAATATTTCTTCCTTTCACAAGATTATATTTCTTCTCACTGAATAAAGTTTCTCCTCTGACTGAATAATATTTTTTCTATGACTGAATATTTCTTCTTTCACTAAATATTTCTTTTATTAGTGAATAATGAACTGGAGTAAGTTCCACAATACCCCAAGCTCAGTGATATTGTTCTTCAAACAATTCAGATTTAATATGCATTCTGAGGGCAAGTTGTACGATTGTGTCCTTCTTCCCCACACACTCCACACTTCCTTTTCTTTGGTTTGTTGCCTTCTGCAGCCTTGCGTTTAGTTCCTCCAGTATTTCCTTCATAGCCATGTCCACTCACAGGATTGAAACGTAAATCTGCCAAATAAGATAATAAAATTACAATACATAGTAACTATTGCAGTACAATACAAATACAAAATTTATTTCTTTGCAAAGCGAGATTACATTTTATAATTTGTTATGCACAAAGAAAGCCACTATCATGCCGGGGCATTTTGGGCAGACTAATCCTAATATTTAAAGACTACTTAAATCTACACAGATTAAGAGTGGTAAACTTTAATTATTCATTACTTTACCTTATTACTATTGTGAGGTAGCCAAAATGTTTTATAGTTAATAAGATTTACAATCCTAGGTAGTAGGTTGGTAGACAGGAACCGCCCAGGGAGGTACTACCGTCCTGCCAGATAAGTGTAAAATGGAAGCCTGTACTTGTTTTACACAATGGTAGGATTGCCGGTGTCTTTTTTCTGTCTCATAAACATGCAAGATTTCAGGTACGTCTTGCTACTTCTACTTACACTTTGGTCACACTACACATGCATGTACAAGCAATATATAATATATATATATATACATATATACTATATATACATATATATATATATATATATATATATATATATATATATATATATATACAGTGGACCCCCGCATAACGATGGCATCGCATAGCGATTTTTCCGCATAACGATTACTTTTTATCGCAAAATTTTTGCCCCGCATACCGATGAAAAAACCCGCATACCGATTTTCGTCCGAGAGCGCCAATGTGCCCTCACATGTGCCGGCTCGCCCATTGTTTACAGCCAGCCTCCGCGTAACATCCAAGCATAACACGTCGGAATATTTCGTATATTACAGTGTTTTCGGTGGTGATTTCTGGAAATAAGTGACCATGGCCCCAAGAAAGCTTCTAGTGCCAACCCTGTGGTAAAAAGGGTGAGAATAGTATGGAAAATTAAGAAAGATTTTGAAGGTTTGGGCTAAACCCTGAGAAGCCTATGCCGTTTGTGGAATCCATTGTGCCTACTTCAAAGATGTAAGGAAATTGTGCAGAGTGTTGAACTGCAAAACCTTTATAGATGAAAATCACCCTGACACAGCTGTTGCAAGCCGTGCTTGTGACTATTTCAATGACAATGGGTTTTGGCCCATTTTAGGAAAGTCTTGAAGAAATGGAGGTACAGAGCTCTATGGACAGATTTGTTGTGCGACAGAGGTCCAGTGACTCTGAAGCTGGTCCTAGTTTGGGATTAAAAGAAGAAGGGAAGTAACCCCAGAAAAGGACTTGCTACCTCAAGTCCTAATGGAAGGGATTCCCCTTCTAAACAGTAAGAAGATAATGCTCTTTTCCCCCCTCCCATCCCATCAATCATCACCAGATCTTCAATAAAAGTAAGTGTCATGTAATTGTGCATGCCTTTTTCAGTTTGTGTGTATTAAAATTAACATTTCATGTGGTAAAAAAAATTTTTTTTCATACTTTTGGGCGTCTTGCACGGATTAATTTTATTTCCATTATTTCTTATGGGGAAAATTAATTCGCATAACGATTATTTCGCATAACGATGAGCCCTCTTGCACGGATTAAAATCGTTAACCGGGGGTCCACTGTATATATATATATATATATATATATATATATATATACATGCCCCTTTGGGTTTTCTTCTATTTTCTTACTAGTTCTTGTTCTAGTTTATTCCCTCTTATTTCCATGGGGAAGTGGAACAGAATTCTTCCTCTGTAAGCCATGCGTGTCATATGAGGCAACTAACATACTGTGAGCAAGGGGCAAGTAACCCCTTCTCCTGTATACATTAGTAAAGTCAAAAAGATAAACTTTTGTTTATCTCTTTGGGCCACCCTGCATCGGTGGGATATGGTCAGTTTATTGAAAGAAGATTTATAGTCTTGATGCAGCACATAACTAATAACAACATTACAAGTAGTAAAATTTAAAATGATACAACTACGATTTTAAGTGCGTATTAATGTTTTAATAGATTAGAGGTCATAAAATATTTGGGAGAGTTGCTTCAAACTGGTTAGATGATTTAGCACAGTGTGTTGGTATGGTTAATATTATGAGATGAGATGATTTTTAAGTATAGCCCTTGAAATGATTTGCTGGTTCGTGCAATGAATTCCAGATCTTCTGACCCTTTATGTGCACTGTATTTCTGCATAATGTGAGACGGACACAAGGGATGTCAACAAGTGTTTTGTGTCTTGTGTTATGCATGTGCATTACGTTGTAGCTATCAAGGAGAAGTTTGAGTGGAGGGTTTATATTGGAGTTTAGTGTTCGGTATATATAGTAGGCACAATACGAGTGCATATTTTGTATATTAATTAAATTCAAGCTCTTGAAAAGCAGTAGGGTGTATCGCCTTGGTGTATTATTGGTCTCATTTGATAGGATGGAAGATATATTACAGAAATTGAGATGATTTTGATTGGTTTCAGGACAGAAAGTAGCTTGAAATTGAGCTCAAAGTAGTGGAAATGTTCGATTGTCGCCAATATTCCAGAGTACACAACTGGCCAGTCTAATACATATCTAGGAATGTACTGACATTATTTATACAATTATTACAATAATGCAGTATCCTGCATAACAGTAATTCTTCCATTTTTTGTATGAATAAAAATTCAAAATAGAGAGCAAGAGTTATATAAGAGGGACCTGGAGATGTGACTAAGGACAGAGGAAATGTTTTTTAGTGTCAGGAATATCTATATTGTTAATTCTAGACCCCATTTTTTAATTAAAATTTTTTTAATTTTGTGTGAAATTGGCCAAATTACTGATTTCTGATCACTTTATTGGTTAGTTGAAATAGGTAAATGGGCACTTTCTTTTACTCAATCGACAGAATAGAAGGAATAATAGTTAATTCGCTATGAGTTTGGTCAACTGGAACAATGGAATTGGCCAAAAATAGGGTGCAAAGTGAGCAAAATCGACAATGCATAAATATTGCCGAGACCACTAGCTTTGTGAGAGCGTAATTCTGAAAGTTTTCTATCAAATTTTGTACTTTTGGTTTCATTACCTTCGGAAAAAGATTCTCTACCATTTCATAAGAAAAAATAATTCCAAGCCTGATATGAAAGGTATAAGGATATCAGCAACATACTTGGATTCATTAAATTTAATGACTTTAAATATTAATAAGCTTAATTTGAGTTCAATTCTTGCTTTGACAGGAAGCCAATGCAGTTCATACAAATAGGGTCTAGTAGGAACTCCAGTTGGGAGCAAAAATACCAATCTAGCTGAACAATTCACTCCAGACTGAAGCGTTTCTTAACAAGTAGTTATGCAAACTAATAGCTAGCAACGTAGTTAGGTAAACAGTTACAAAAATCCATTTAAGAAAAAAACAAGCATGTGGATATCGATCAAGAAACTCCAATTATCGAGATATTTTCTGACTGCAGAGATTACAAAAAGGAAAATTGTAAGTTTTAATCATTTTTTTTTTTTTTGATGGCTCCAACAAATGGCAATGAAGAATCAAGGAAGACAATTAGATCGCTCACTGATCCCACAGGCTATAACAAAAATCTCTAATATGTACTTACCTAAAAATTCCACTGAGAAACAAAATCTGTTTCAGCCTCACTGACTTTCAATTTTCTACTTGTCATCCATGTCCAAACATCCAAAGAAGAACTAAAGTAGGGTTTTGTATCTTACACAGTTAGAATCCAGATGTACAGGTACAGGTGGGTTTGTTTGCAATCACGTTATTACAATTTTGTGGTCTGTCTCAACCTCAGGAGGCTTCAAGCAAAAACCAAGGCTGCAACTGACACCATCAATGACCTGCTATTTGCTGATGACTGCGCCCTCAACGCTGCTTCAGAAGCCGCCATGCAGCACAGTGTTGACAAGTTCTCTGACGCCTGCAACAACTTCGGGCTGACAATCAGTACAACGAAGACTGAAGTGATGCACCAGCCTGCTCCGGGAAAGACGTATGTTGAGCCAAACATCACCATCAACGGGCAGCGACTGAACACCGTAGACAAATTCACCTACCTCGGCAGTACCCTTTCCAGAAACGTTGTCATCGATGATGAGGTGAATGCAAGACTTGCCAAAGCCAGTGCCACCTTCGGCATGCTTCACAAGAATGTATGGAACCGAAGAGGCATCACCACAAGCACCAAGATCAAGGTGTACAAAGCCATAGTCCTCACCACACTTCTCTATGGCTGCGAAACCTGGACTGTCTACAAACGTCACGCCAGTAAGTTGAACCACTTTCACATCACACAGCACAGAAAAATTTTCGGCATCAAATGGCAAGATAAGATCCCAGACACAGAAGTGCTGACTACAGCTGGCCTGCCTAGCATCTACACCATCCTAATGCAGACACAGCTTCGCCGGGCAGGTCACGTTGCTCGCATGCCAGACCACCGGCTGCCAAAGAAACTCTTGTTTGGCGAACTGCAGCATGGAAAGCACTCTCAAGGAGGCCAAAAGAAGCACTACAAGGACACCCTTAAGACTGCTTTGAAAGCTTTTGACATCAACCACACCATATGGCAGCTGATAGCTCAGGACAGGAATGACTGGCGAGCAGTTGTTCAGAAAGGGGCAACATCCTGCGAGGCAAGCAGAATCTCACTAACTGAGCAGCGCAGGCAGGCGAGGAAGACCAGAGCCATCAGACCCCTCGATGCTGCCACCCTTCCCTGTCCACACTGCCAGAGAACGTTTCGTGCGCGGATTGGCCTGACAAGTCATCTGCGTACCCACCAACTTCGACCCCAGGATGACTAGATGGTCCTCGTCGAATCAACGGACAAACATCATCACAATTTTGTGAGTCATGATAATGGCTTTGAGGGGACTTGAGTTAGAGTTCACCACAGCCACGCTGGCAGGAGATTCATCTGTAAAAACTTGCATTTGTGGTCACAGTGGGACCCACGCTAACCTCCTTATGGTGTATAAATATACCTAGTTTGATGAATCTTACTGTAGCCAGCTGGACAGTGGCTTGTGCACTGGCCTGGAGTTTTGCAACTCACTTGCCATGGGTTCTAACCCCACCCATACTGTGATTTGGGAGTACTATTATTGATTTTGTGATAGTTCATATAGAGTACTTCACACACTGTCTCTTGAAATAGGAAGGGAGAGAGGTTGTGACAGTGTTATAGCTTCCATATAGCTTAAATACTTTGTAAGGAGGAAGGGAGAGAAGCTCTGAGTCCGTTATAGCTTCCAAGTAGATCAGTTAGTTTAATATGTTTATTATGCACCCCATACCCATCCTGTGGGCGGTAGTCAAAAGATTACAGAGGTACATAATTGGTCCAGGGACTGGACTCCAAAGTTTTGATAGCTGAGCAAGTTACAGAGGTAATGAACCCACAATTTACAAAGGTAATGAACTCACAATTTAAAAAGGTAATGAACTCACAATTTACAAAGGTAATGAACTCCAGGTAGGTCTAGTCACAATCATGACAAGTTACAAAGATTTTACACATTTCAGAGGTACTAATGGGTCCAGACTGGCCCCCCAAATTTTGACAGCAAAAATAGGACACAGTTAACCACAAATTACAAAGGTAATGAATCCTGTAAAATGGTTCTTATTTAACATGGCTACAATAAAAACAAATTATAGAGTAAGAGTAATTCACACTTCCACACCCGGGGCCAAAATTTTGATTATTGGGCAAATATTATTGTTGAGTCACACACACACACCCCACACACCACCAAAATAACCCTCATACAAAACCAACACACACAACACAACACACACACAAACCCACACACACACACACACACACACAACACAAACCTTTACAACACACACAAACACACACACACACACAACAACAAACACACACACACACACCCACACCACACACACACACACACATACAAAACACAACACAAACACACACACACACACACACACAAACCATACACAAACACACACACACACATCAAAACCACACACACACACACACACAACCCCACACACCCCACAACCAACACACACCCACACACACACAACACCAACAACTACACTCATACACAACACACTCTTTAAAACACACACACACACAACACACACCCAACACACACACACACACACACAAACACACACACACACACACACACAAACACCCACCAACACACACACACCACAAAACACACACACACACACACACAAAACCAAAAAACCAACACAACAAAAAAACAAACCAAAACAACAACAAAAAACCAACCAAAACCAAACAACAAAACAGTGGGTTACCAATATAAATAACATTCAGGAAGATAACAGTGGGGGGTTTTTCCCCCCCCCCCCCCAAAAAAAATTTTGATAGACATAACATTACAGGGGGTAACAGTGGGTTCCATGATGACATAACATTACAGGGATAACAGTGGGTTTCCCAAAGATAGACATAACTTAAGGAGGGGTAACATGGGTTTCCAAGAAACATAAAAATTACAGGAGTTAAAAGTGGGTTACCATATAAACAAAATTACAGGGAAAATAAAATGGGTTACCAATGATAGACATAACATTTCGAAGATAACAGTGGGGTTTCCCAAGTAGACATAACTTACAGGGGGATAACAGTGGGTTACCCAAAGTGACATAACATTTCGGAAGATAAAAGGGTTACCAATGATAGACATAACATTACAGGAGGGTAACGTGGGTTACCAATGGGAACATAACCTACAGGAAGATAAAAATAGGGTTTCCAATAAAATTTTAATAACACTATGGAAGATAACAGTGGGGTTTGCAAAGAATTCATAACACATAGGAAGATAACAGTGGGTTTCAATCTGAACATCAAATGGGATACAATACCGACAGGTTTTAGGTAAGACACATATGCAACAGTTAGACAACTTTTTCCGAAATGTTTTCGCCTACAAAAGGGTTCTTCAGTCGAATACAAAAGTGGCAGGAACAGCAGAGATGTGAAAGTGTAATCATCCATCCCCTTGAAGTCTTAGAATTTGAGGTTGCCCCCCCCAGTCCCTAGCCTGGAAAAGTCTTTTTCCATAGTCAGGAACTATCGAAGATCAAGCGGGTGATGGGGTGATTACATCGTTTCACTTCCTTTTTTCTGTTCCGCCACTTTTTGTATTTACTGAAGAACCTACGGTAGGCGAAACGTTTTTGGAAAAAGTTGTCTAACGTTTTCATGTTGTGTTCACTTGTCAACACGCAACACTGGCATTTGGTACAGAAACACCTTGGACAAGCTTTTTAAGTGAGAAGTGTTGGGTCTGAGAAGGACAGACCTCTCGTGGGTTTAATTTTCCCCACTACTACTACTACTCTCTGCACTCCCCTTTTCCGACAGTATTTAAACCCGCACTGTCCTTTTTTCTTTAGAATTTCCTGACTATGGAACTGGACTTTCCCGGCTAGGGTGACAAACCCAAAAATTTAAAAGACTTTAAGGGGGATGGGTGGGGTTTCATCGTTTCACATCTCACTGTTCCCCAAATTTCTGTATTTGATGAAGAACCTACTGTATAGGCGAAAGTTTCGGAAAAAAAGTTGTCTAACTGTTGCATATGTGTCGGGTTATCAATCAGTCTAATTTCACTAATTAATTACACATGTAAAATCAATAAACAATAATATTTAAATATTTTACTTAACATGTGAACAGTGAAATGAAACAAGATAGTAACTAAGAAGAGACTTAGTTATTCTCATATTGCAATGTTCAACTTTCAATACATGAAGTAGAATACCTCAATGAAACTGAATATTCAACTTTCAATACATTAAGCAAAGAATTGCACCTAGATTTTATGTTCAACTTTTACAGTGCACAAAACAAATGGCAGACAACCAAGCAATTCATAAAAGCCAAAATTTATTGTTTTTAACTGTCACATTGGCTGTTTTCAAATAAAGGTGATTCAATGAAGAAAACACATTCACCATCACTTATTCCTTAACCCTTAAATGGTCCAAACGTATATATATGTTTTTTCAACATCTGAAAGTATGTAAAAAAATGTAGATCTTCTTTTTTGTTTTACATTTGAAAACGTGTAAAAAAAACTTTTATCTACATTTTTTTTTGTTATATTTGAAAATATGTAAAAAAAAGTAGATCTACTTTTGTAGCACTACGAATTTGAACGTCGATTTGTTTGGACCGTTTAAGGGTTAACTGTCTCTCTGAAGGGCACAGATATCATGATTAATGACCCAACAAACTACATCGTCTACCTGTACTTCCCACTTATAAAACTTGTATCTGGATAACTGGTTTACCTGAATCACTACATAAATATTAATGTGCTCAAATTCTAACAGCATGCCAAATCCCAAAGAACATTTTACTTTGAACTAACATCCTAACACACGTACACAGTGGTACCTCAGGATACAAACTTTTTCTCGTTCCAGAAGGCTGTTTGAGTGATGATACCGAACAAATTTGTTCCCATAAGAAATAATATAAATTTGATTAGTCTGTTTCAGACCCCCAAAAATACACTTACAAAAGCACTTACATAAATACACTTACATAACTGTTTGAGTTTTGAGCTGTTTGTAACCCGAGGTACCACTGTATTCAACCCTTTGACTGTCGCAAGCCCCTTTCTGAAACTGGCATTCTATGTCGCAAAATTTTTGGAAAAAAAAAAATTATGAAAATTATGAAATTATAGAGAATTTTTTCCTGATGGTAATGACATCAAAAGTATGAAATTTGGTCGAAAACTCAAGGAATTATGCTCCTGTGAAGTTAGTGGTCTCGGCGACATATACGCATCGGCAATTTTGCCGACTTTGAGCCCTGTTTTTGGCCAATTCCATTGTTCCAGTTGACCAAACTCATAGCTATTTCTTTAAAACTCCATTTTTTCTATCAGTTGAGTACATTTACTGATTTGAACTACCCAATAAAGTGGTCAGAAATTGGCAATTTGGCCAATTTCACACAAATTAAAAAAAGATGCCAATTTCAAAATAGGGTCCAGAATAAACAATGTAGACAGTCTTGGCACTAAAATAACATATCCTCTGTTCATTAGTCACATCTCTAGGCCCCTCTTATATTACTATTGCTTTCTATTTTCTATTTTTTATTCATACAAAAAATACAAAATTTACTGTTATACAGAGTACTGCATTATTGTAAAAATGGTATAAATAATATCAGTGCACTAGTGAAAGAATATTAGACTCCCCAGTTCACATGTATTGGAGGTGTGGTGTGATTTGCTTACTCCTGAACATTGGTAAAAATTGAACATTTCTGCTACTTTGAGCTCAATTTCAAGGTCGTTTTCATCATAAAACTAATCAAAATCATCTCTATTTCTGGAATATGTTTTCCATTTTATCACGTGAGACTATGAAAATGAGAATACAATGATAAATACTATACGAAAATACACCTCAAAGTCGGCATTTTAATCCAATAAAATGGTCAGTTTTTTTTTTTTTCTAATTATGCACTGCATGCTGCAGGATTTTTTTATGTGGTGCACACTGACCACACAGACCCATTCTCTCACATGTGGGCCTACAAGCTTTCTCCTGCTTGATTTGAAGCCGCTAGAATTTATGCGTATAAATACGTCCGAAACAGTGGTGTGTAAGACGTATATATACGACCAAAACAGTCAAAGGGTTAATATTCAAGTCCCTACCACTCAAAACTATTACTCTTTTATATGACTCTTCTAATCCTCTTTTGGAGGGGAATTGCCAACACTTTCCATCTTTCCCAAAATTATATACCCTCTTAATCAGCCCATCATTCTCTATTAATTTTACATGACCAAATATTCTAGACAATCCCAAAACAAACCCCTTCCCCACTTCTTCTTACGAATATTTCCAGATAGCCAAAATGTTAAAAATATGTAAATAACAGACATACCATTACTCCAAGTGTTGAGTCCACCATCACCTCTTTCACTCTGAGATAACTCATCTGCCCACTTAAAGAAGTGGCACTGCTCACTGCGATCCTTGCTGCACACATAGAACTCCCGGCCCTTGTTGGGACCTTCCTTCTGCACTGTTAATCTGAGAACATTAATGACCATAAAAAGTTTTATCTTCATGGCAAAGGACATGCAATCTGAAAATAGTGTGTCAACATCTAAATTCCATGAATTTAACTATGTACTGGCAACTACTAGCTCTTCAGAATGTGATGCAACCCATGGAGAAATGTGAAAATATGAGTGTAATAAAAATCTGTCAATGATAGGATAAAACAAACATGGTAACAAACACACAAATAAACAAGAATCTGTATATTTCAACCTCCAACTGAGATCCTCTTCAGCAGAGAAGAAATATTTATTGAAGAGAGGAATTTTATTCATGTCTCACCTGTGGAACAGCTTCTTCACTGACTGAAGAACCCATGTCCACAGAAGAAACATCTGAGTTAAGTTTCTCTCTGCCATTACCCTTTAATCACTTGTTTGTTTTGCACCATTTGCCTCTAAATCTTCATTAATAAATTACAATTCTGATTTGGAATGTGTTGGCTACTTTGATGTAGACATAATGAGTAAATGAGAAATGAATGTTACCAAACATCTTCTATGTCTCAGCTGATATGCTATTTTCTGCATGACCTATAGTGCCTATAGTGTGGCATTCATAGTTGTTTCATACTGACTTTCTCTTGAAGCACAAATTACTAATAATCCCAGCACTGCCAAACATTCTCAAGATCTTTGAATTAGTAGCACTGAAGAAAATGTCTTATATTATCAACAACAAAGTGAAGCTTTGTTGTTGATAAAATAAATATGAAAAGATTAATCTTTCTTTCACCCTCCCTTACTCCCTCCCTCCCTATGCTGTCTTGTCAGTGTAAACCATTCAAAAAAATGCAAAAAATTTTTTTTATCAAAATAATGAAGAGTATTGAAGGTTTCAACAGTGCCATGTTACTACTATAAAAATTAAGAGTACTGACAACCACAGGTTAAAGAGTACCAACAACCACTGGTCACAAACATTACCATATAGTGTGAACATTGTAGTATGCCTCACCTCTTGGCTGGGATGGTACACTTACAAACAATAACACCATCATCCCATGCATTGTTGCTATTAAAACCTGAAATGAAAGAAATTATATAAGACAGCAACCGCCCAGGGAGGTACTACTGTCCTGCCAAGTGAGTGTAAAACGAAAACCTGTAATTGTTTTACATGATGGTAGGATTGCTGGTGTCCATTTTTCTGTCTCATAAACATACAAGGTTTCAGGTACGTCTTGCTACTTCTACTTACACTTAGGTCACACTACACATACATGTACAAGCATATATATACACACCCCTCTGGGTTTTCTTCTATTTTCTTACTAGTTCTTGTTCTTATTTATTTCCTCTTACCTCCATGGGGAAGTGGAACAGAATTCTTCCTTCGTAAGGCATGCAAGTTGTAAGAGGCAACTAAAATGCCAGGAGCAAGGGGCTAGTAACCTCTTCTCCTGTATATATTATTAAATGTAAAAGGAGAAACTATCGTTTTTCCTTTTGGGCCACCCCACCTCGCTGGGATACAGCCAGTGTGTTGAAAGAAGAAAAGAATATATTAATATGTTTTGAATTCTTCCTCTGTAAGCCATGCGTGTTGTGAGAGGCAACTGAAATGCTGGGAACAAGGGGCTAGTAACCCCTTACCCTGTATATGTTACTAAAGTTAAAAAGAGAAACTCTTGTTTTTCTTTCTGGGTCACCCTGCCTCGGTGGGATACAGCCGGTTTGTTGAAAGATATATATGATATACATTTTTTTTTTTAACAAGTTGGCCATCTCCCACTGAGGCAGGGTGACCCAAAAAGAAAGAAAATCCCCAAAAAGAAAATACTTTCATCATCATTCAACACTTTCACCTCACTCATACATAATTACTGCTTTTGCAGAGGTGCCCAGAACACAACAGTTCAGAAGCATATACATATAAAGATACACAACATATCCCTCCAAACTGCCAATATCCCAAACCCTTCCTTTAAAGTGCAGGCATTGCACTTCCCGTTTCCAGTACTCAAGTCTGGCTATATAAAAATAACCAGTTTCCCTGAATCCCTTCACTAAATATTACCCTGTTCACACTCCAACAGCTCGTCAGGTCCCAAATACCATTCATCTCCATTCACTCCTATCTAACACGCTCACATACGCTTGCTGGAAGTCCAAGCCCCTCGCCCACAAAACCTCCCTTACCCCCTCCCTCCAACCTTTTTGAGGACGACCCCTACCCCGCCTTCCTTCCCCTACAGATCTATATGCTCTCCATGTCATTCTACTTTGATCCATTCTCTCTAAATGACCAAACCACCTCAACAACCCCTCTTCAGACCTCTAATACTTTTATTAACTCCACACCTTTTCCTAATTTCCACACTCCGAATTCTCTGCACAATATTTACACCACACATTGCCTTTAGACAGACATCACCACCTCCAACCGCCTCCTCGCTGCAGCATTTACAACCCAAGCTTCACACCCATATAAGAGTGTTGGTACCACTATACTTTCATACATTCCCTCCTTTGCCTCCACATATAATGTTTCTTGTCTCCACATATACCTCAATGCACCCCTCATCTTTTTTCCTTCATCAATTCTATGGTTAACTTCATCCTTCATAAATCCATCCGCTGACACATCAACTCCCAAATATAGTGGACCCCCGCTTAACGATCACCTCCCAATGCGACCAATTATGTAAGTGTATTTATGTAAGTGCGTTTGTACGTGTATGTTTGGGGGTCTGACATGGACTAACCTACTTCGCAATATTCCTTATGGAAACAAATTCGGTCAGTACTGGCACTTGAACGTACTTCTGGAATGAAAAAATATTGTTAACCGGGGGTCCACTGTATCTGAAAACATTCTTCCATACTCCTCTCCAATTTGATATCCAATTTTTCTTTATCTAAATCATTTGATACCCTCATCACCTTACTCTTTTCTAATATGGCATCACGAGACATAAGACACTCTTACTGATTTTAATGTGTACCTGCATGCCAGCACAGTGTGTAAGTTCATTTAGGTACAGGTATACATAAGTATAATTATCAGAGTTTATATAAAATATGAAATAACTTCTAAAAACACTTGAAATTTTGGAGTTTCCAGACATAATGGAGAGACGTGGTGCTTACAGAGCTCACAGAGAATGTAAACAAACAGGGTGGGGCACAGTGACCATATTATTAAGTCAGGTGGGGGGAGCCATAGAGCGAGTTTTGGTCATAATTTGAAATGTCCGTATTAGCGGAACACCGTAAAGCGAAATGCCATAATGCGGGGTCCTACTGCATATATATATCCAAAGGTGATATTAAAATTAACTCATATACTGTATGTAATAACTAAAACAAATTCAAGATATTCACATCTGAAAAGTTCAAGCTATCAAAATATTTCTTACCAGAATTGGACATTCTCTTCCACCCTGTTGCTGAGATTATGACCTTGATCACCACTACCACCCCCACCACTGCCATCACTACTGCCACCCTACCACCACCACCCCCACCACCACTATCACCACCATTACCCCAGCCACCACTACCACCGCCCCTGCCACCACCCCTGCCGCCACTGCCACCATCTCTGCCGCCACTCTTACCACCACCACCATCACCCCTGCCTCCGTCACGACAACCACCACTGCCACCCCACCACTGCTGCCACTGCCACCACTACCAACACCACCCCCGCCACTGCCACCACCATCCATACCTCTGCCTGTGCCTTTGTTGCTACCACTTCCTTCTCCACCTCCTTCGTTATTTCTGTCGTTGTTCTCTCTGCTTCCAGTGTTGCCTCCACAATCAGCCCAAAGGAAGAAGTTACATCCCTGACCCTGCATCTTGGGACATTTGTAAAACTGTCGACCTGTAAAGAATAAACTTCTCATCGAAATGTTCTTCCTACCTTTCTAAATTTACTCAAGCAAGATACATCAACAAAAACAAATGATACAGTATATGTATAATTCTACCATACTTGAACAATAAAAAATTCTATCTATATGAACCTAAACAGTACAGGTTCCACAATTAACAAACACTTAGTTACATAGATCAATACTTACAAAGAGGGCACTTAGAAACCAAACGAAGTTTTACAACCACTGAGCAAAACAAAACAAACATGTATGAAACATAACCATCCTCTGTACATATGTTTTCCATACCAGTTCTGAAACCAATCAGAATCAATCAACATCATTGGCTGGTATGTTGAAACATAAGAACATAAGAAAGAATGAACACTGCAACAGGCCTACTGACCCATGTGGAGCAGGTCCATGTGTCCCCCCAGATTAGCCCAATGACCCACCCAGTCTGGTCACCTCCACTCAAGGATGGAGCACGGCACCAGACCCAGCAGCACAAGCTAGTCAGGTCCAACTCACACCCACCCACACCCACTCATGTATTTATCTAACCTATTTTTAAAACTACACAATGTTTTAGCCTGAATAACTGTACTCGGGAAAGAAGAAGATATCTTCCACTGTATCAAATGATACCAAGAAACCTAGAAAACTATAAACCATCCAAAAATACACCACAAAGTCACTGTTTTAACCAAAAACCCAGTCATTTTTTCTTCCCATTATGCACTGCATGAGGCACAGTCACCACATAGACCCATTCTCTTATAACTAATCCAATATTTACCATTCACAGCTTATCTGAGTGAGCTGAGCTCATGATGGAGAACTACAGCACTGACCCAGAGTTCAGAGCCATAGAACTACGGCACTGACCCAGCGTTCAAAGTCACAGAACTACGACACTGACCCAGCGCTCAAAGTCACAGAACTACGACACTGACCCAGCATTCAGGGCAGTTATATGAGACTTCCTATGCTATTTGGTAATCCAAAAGAAGGCACAGAAATTTGACCATATCCTCTTCAGGGATACAAGAGCCATACAGGATAGAGTGGTACAAAGGATAACAGGGCGACTTGTGAAAGTTATCTGGTGTGTTTTTGTAATGACCCAACTAGAAGCACGATCAACAGCAAACTAGAGAGAAGTCGCTACAAGCCAACAGTCAGCACCGGCACTAGCAATGAAACAAAATCAATAACAGAATGAGTCGACCAATAGATTTTGTAACAGTTATCTGTGTTACAGCAACCACCCAGGGAGGTACTACCATCTTGCCAAGTGAGTGTGAAATGGAAACCTGTAATTGTTTTACATGATGGTAGGATTCCTGGTGTCTTATCTGTCTCATAAACATGCAAGATTTCAGGTATGTCTTGCTACTTCTATTTACACTTAGGTCACACTACACATATATATATGCATGTATGTACATGCATATATCTTTAGATGCCCATCTGGGTTTTCTTCTATTTTTTAATAGTTCTTTTTCTTATTTCCTATTATCTCCATGGGAAAGTGGAAAAGAATTCCTCCTCTGTAAGCCATGCGTGTCGTAAGAGGCGACTAAAATGCCGGGAGCAAGGGGCTAGTAACCCCTTCTCCTGTATACAGTGGACCCCCGCATAACGATCACCTCTCAATGCGACCAATTATGTAAGTGTATTTATGTAAGTGCGTTTGTACGTGTATGTTTGAGGGTCTGAAATGGACTAATCTACTTTCACAATATTCCTTATGGGAACAAATTCGGTCAGTACTGGCACCTGAACATACTTCTGGAATGAAAAAATATCGTTAACCGGGGATCCACTGTAAAAGAAGAAACTTGCGTTTTTCCTTTTGGGCCACCCTGCCTCGGTGGGATACGGCTGGTTTGTTGAAAGAAGAAGAAGAAACACACAAGATAACAAATGTATCTTGCTACTTTTACTTAACATTAGGTCACACTGCACATGCATGTATATGTGTATGTATAAACACTCACCTGAGTTTTCTCTGATTTTTCTTAATAGTTCTTGTTCTTATTATTTTCCTTTCATATCCATGGGGAAGTGAAATAAGAATCTTTCCTCCATAAGCCAGGTGTGTTGGAAAAGTCAATTAAAATGCTGGGTGAAATGGGCTAGTAGCCCCTTTTCTCGTTGTATCTGAGCACCTCTACAAAGACAGTGATTATGTTTAAATGGTGAAAGTGCTGAGTGATAGTGAAAGTGTTTCTTTTTTGAGTCACCCTGCCTCGGTGGGAGACGGCCAATGTGTTGAAATAAAATATTCTTAAAATATATATATTTACAATATACAAGTACCATCTGACTTATGACCTGGTTGACATACGACCACTCGTACTTATGAACATACGTCTGGCAGCATATACAGTAGTAAAATTTTATTTTTTTTAACAAGTCGGCCGCCTCCCACCGAGGCAGGGTGACCCAAAAAGAAAGAAAATCCCCAAAAAGAAAACACCCCCCCATGTTGGCAATTTTCTAAGGTTCTACTTACATCCATTTTGACTTACAACCGGCTGGTGGGAGCCAAGCTCAGTCATAAGTCAGATGGTACGTACTTGTATATTCTTACACTATATATTTTTATGTATATTTTTACAATACAGCCTCTCCTCACTTAGCGACGTACTCATTTACCAATGACTCGGACTCACGACAGGCTCTCTGACCAGTATGCATACCTAAATAATGTATATTACAGCTGATTTTCTCTATTCTGTTTATTACAATATACAGTGCACTGCTTTATAAACATTTAAAAATATACCAGAAATGTTATAAATGGTGCAAAGGTGACATTAAAACATTATCAAAGATGGTTGACACAAACGCACTACCAACATAGTATACTCCTCACTTAGCGATGAATTTGTTTACCAACATGGTCTTAGGAACAAAACTCCATCGTTAAGTGAGGAGAGGCTGTATATATTTTTACAATATATATTCAGCTTTTGCAAAATATTAAAACACTTACCCTTATTAGGACCCTCCTTCCGAACAGTGAGGATGATAGCATCCTCATTACAGTTGCAAACAATGGCATTTGCCTGATCTTCACTCTTATTACCATTCCATGGTAAATGAGACAGAGACTGTGAAACACCAAAAGATGTAAAACCAGAGTCCAAGGCACTAGTGCCACTACTGTCAATAAAAGAGTTAGAGTGTGCTCCTCCCTGGCCTCCATTACTACTGTTACTAGTATTGTTAAGAGTATTTGCAGTTCTGCTTGAATTTATATTGGGACTGTTGCCTCTTTGCTGACCAAAGCCAATTCTCCACTGATTGGAGTTATTAATAGTGGAGAAGTTTGTAGAGGAGTAGCCACTGTTTGATAAAGAAGCTGAAGGTCTCCTAGCCACTGACTGCCCTCCACTTGCTGATGGTCTCCCAGCCACTGGCTGTCCTCCACCTGCTGATGGTCTCCCAGCCACTGGCTGCCCTCCAACTGCTGATGGTCTCCCAGCCACTGGCTGCCCTCCAACTGCTGATGGTCTCCTAGCCACTAGCTGCCCTCCAACTGCTGATGGTCTCCCAGCCACTGGATGTTCTCCACCTGTAAAAGCATACTGAATCATAACTCTCCCTCTTTTGCTAAAAAACTTAACTTCTTCAAATAAAAGTGATATTTCTACATAATAACTTGATCTAAAACTTTAAGTGACCTAAAACAAATTAGAAAAGGCTGGTTACATTTAGCTAAAATAAGTGTCAGTTGTTTAAATGTCGGTTAAGATAAACATGTTATGTTTAAATAAGTGTTACTTAGCAAAGATAATTGTTTGTTTCTTAACTAAGATAAATGTCACTCTTCAACCAACTCTAACTTCTATGACAAACAAAATATCACAACACAATAAATAAAATTAAACAAGTAAATAAATGAATATGTGTGTGTGCGTGCGTGCGTGCATGTGTGTTTGTGTACTCACCTAATTGTGGTTGCAGGGGTTGAGTCACAGCTCCTGGCCCTGCCTCTTCACTGGTCGCTACTAGGTCACTCTCCCTGCTCCGTGAGCTTTATCATACCTGTTCTTAAAACTATATATGGATCCTGCCTCAACTACATCACTTTCCAGACTATTCCACTTCCTGACAACTCTATGACTGAAGAAATACTTCTTGACATCCCTGTGACTCCTTTGGGTCTTCAACTACCAACTGTGACCCCTTGTTGATGTGTCGCATCTCTGGAACATCCTGTCTCTGTCCACCTCATCAATTCCTCTCGGTGTTGTCAGGTTGATTTCCCTTAACCTATCCTCATAGGAAATGCCCCTTAACTCCAGGACTAGTCTTGCTGCAAACCTTTGCACTTTCTCTAATTTCCTGGCTTGTTTGGCTAGGTGTGGGTACCAAACTGGTGCTGCATACTCCAATATGGGCCTGATGTACAGTGTACAGAATCCTGAACAACTCTTTACTGAGATGTCAGAATGCTGTTCTTTGGTTCGCTAGTCGCCCATATGCCACAGCAGTTATTTGGTTGATGTGCACCTCAGGACGTGTTCAGTGTTATACTCACCCCAAGATCCTTTTCCTTGAGTGAGGTTTGTAGTCTTTGGCCCCCTAGACTGTATTCTGTCTGCGGTCTTCTTTGCCCTTCCCCAATCTTCATGACTTTGCACTTGGCAAGGTTGAACTCCAGGAGCCATTTGCTGGACCAGGCCTGTAGCCTGTCCAGATCCCTTTGCAGTCCTGCCTAGTCCTCCTCCAATTGAATTCTCTTCATTAACCTGACACTGTCTGCAAACAGACACACTTCTGAGTCTATTACTTCTGTCATGTAATTCACATATACATCTACCAGAAACAGCACCGGCCCTAGGACTGACCCCGTGGAACCCCACTCGTCACAGGTGCCCACTCCGACACCTCGTCACATACCATGACTCACTGCTGCCTTCCTGTCAGGTATTCTCATTGCAGTGCCTTCCCTGTTATACCTGCCTGGTCTCCAGATTTTGCACTAATCTCTTGTGTGGAACTGTGCCAAAAGCCTTCTTACAGTCCAAGAAAATGCAATCTACCTACCCCTCTCTCTCTCTTGTCTTACTGATGTCACCTTGTCATAGAACTCCAGTAGGTTTGTGACACAGGATTTCCTGTCCTTGAATCCGTGTTGGTTGCCATTGATAAGGTCATTCCTTTCTAGGTGCTCCACCACTCTTCTGATAATCTTCTCCATGACTTTGCTAGTGAGAGTATAGGTAATGAGGTTGATGAGGTATGGGGTAAATTTAAGAAAGTAGTGTTAGTTAGATTGTACAGCAGAAGTGTGTGGTTAAAGGAAAGTGGGTGTGGAAGCAGAGAAGAGTGATTGATGGAATGATGAGGTAAAGAGTGAAGTAAAAGTGAAAAAGTTAGCATATGAGAGTTTTTTTACAAAGTAGAAGTGATACAAGGAGGGAGGAGTATATGGAGAAAAAAAAGAGAGGTTAAGAGAGTGGTCAATTAATGTAAAAGGAGAGCAAATGAAAGAGTGGATGACATGCTATCAACAAAATTTGCTGAGAACAAGAAAAAGTTTTGGAGTGAGATTAACTCTTAAACTGTCCAAACATAGATCTACATTTGCACCTGCAGCGCTCCGAACGTAGATCAACGTTTTATTTTTCATTCCTTCAAATTTGGCACAATAGGCTCAAGTCGCCTAGACATGAAAGAATGGGTCTGTGCACTTAGTGTGTGCAGTATTAAAAAAATCTGGGAGCACTTAGTACCTTGTGGGAGCACCAGTTCAACTGAGCGCCAGCTAGAGCAAATAGCGTGGCAAACACCAGGGATTCACTGATGCCATGTCACATTAACACTCCCATTTTAAGAGGAAAGTAAAAATAGGTTAGATAAATACATGAGTGAGTGTGGGTGGGTGTGAGTTGGACCTGGCTAGCTTGTGCTACTAGGTCTGATGACATGCTACTTCCTTCAATGGATGTGCCCTGACTAGGTGGGTCATTGGTCTAAGCTTGGGGGGGAGAGTGACATGAACCTGCCTTGCATGGGCCAGTAGGCCTGTTGCAGTGTTCCTTATGTCTTATGTTCTTATGTATTCGTAAGGCTGGCAGGCTGGCTGTCTTGCTTTAGTTGTCTCTGGCTGTCTGTATATTTCTATATGTCTATATCTCTGTCTATCTATATCCCTGTCTCACATGTACACATAGGTACAGTTATTATACATAGTATAAATTACCTAGGATAACCCAAAAATTCTAGGCAAAGATAGATAGACAGATAGATAGATAGACAGACAGATAGATAGACAGATGGACAAACATGTTTGTGTGCATCAGTGAAAACAAATAAAGCTAGGGTTCCCCTAAGCATTCATTTATCAAATGTCACCATTCTTCAAGGAGTGTGATATACGTATACTCCACTCTTCAGGTCATTTGTTCTATCTAGGCTGGAATATTGCTGCACTCTAACAGCACCTTTCAAGGCAGGTGAAATTGCTGACCTAGAAAATGTACAGAGAACCTTCACGGCGCGCATAACGGAGATAAAACACCTCAATTACTGGGAGCGCTTGAGGTTCCTAAACCTGTATTCCCTGGAAATCAGGAGGGAGAGATACATGATTATATACACCTGGAAAATCCTAGAGGGACTAGTACCGAACTTGCACACAAAAATCACTCACTACGAAAGCAAAAGACTTGGCAGACGATGCAACATCCCCCCAATGAAAAGCAGGGGTGTCACTAGCACGTTAAGAGACCATACAATAAGTGTCAGGGGCCCGAGAATGTTCAACTGCCTCCCAGCATACGTAAGGGGGATTACCAACAGACCCCTGGCAGTCTTCAAGCTGGCACTGGACAAGCACCTAAAGTCGGTTCCTGATCAGCCAGGCTGTGGCTCGTACGTTGGATTGCGTGCAGCCAGCAGTAACAGCCTGGTTGATCAGGCTCTGATCCACCAGGAGGCCTGGTCACAGACCGGGCCGCGGGGGCATTGACCCCCGGAACTCTCTTCAGGTAAACTCCAGGTAAACAAGGAAAAGGCTGGAGGCAATGGAGATGTAGTGTCTGAGGGCAATGTGCAGTGCAAAAATAATGCAGAGAATCCATAACTTGGAGAGTAGAATGAGGTGCAGGGTTTCTAATAGTACTATCTAGAGGGCAGAGGAAGGGTTGATAAAATGGTTCAGACATTTAGAGAGAATGGACAAAATACAATGACTTGGTGGGCACATAAATCTGTAATGGAAGGAAGACGGGGTAGGTGTCATCCTAGGAAAGGTTGGAGAGAAGGGTAAAAGGGATTTAGTGTGCAATGAGCATGGACTTCCAGCTAGCATGCATGAGCATGTTAGATTGGAGCGAGTGGAGATAAATTGTTTTTATGACTTGAAATGCTGTTGGAGTGTGAGCAAAGTAACATTTATGAAGAGATTCAGGAAAACCGTTTAGCCAGACTCAAATCCAGGAGGTGGAAAGCACAGTACATTTGCTCTGAAGGAGGGATGTTGATATGTTGCAGTTTTCTAAGTGCAATGTAGGCATGCCTCAGGCAAGACAGCAGAGTGAATGATGATGAAAGTGTTTCTTCGGAAGTGGAACAGAATTCTTCCTCCGTAAACCATGCATGTCATAAGAGGCAACTAAAATGCCGGAAGCAAGAGGCTAGTAACCCCTTCTCCTGTATACATTACTAAATTTAAAAAGGGAAACTTTCATTTTTCTTTTTGGGCCACCCTGTCTCGGTGGGATACGGCCAGGTTGTTGAAAAAAAAAACTCTCTCTCCATCCACAGCAGGATTCAAACCTGCACACTTTGCATCAAAGTTGCAGTACTTAAGCCACTCAGCTAAGTACAAGTATGGGTTCTTAGCCAAAGCTAGACAGTCACTACCATACCCTGGAACAGCAAGCTAGTGAAAAGTTATTTCATCAAATCCTGCCGCATGCAGTCATGTTCAAAAGAGATTTTGAAATGCTCAGCAATTCACAAACGGGCAAAATTACTTACAAACATTATGTCAGTCCATAGAAGGTGGCAGCAGGTGGTACCAGTGGTGGTGATTATCATTTTCATTGTCATCATCAGTGATATTTTTTTGCTGTACTACCACTACTACTACTACTACTACTACTACTACTATGTTAAACCATAGTTACCTTGGCCTGAGAACGTTATGGCTGTGATGTCAAGTGTTTGAAGGATGTGCTGGTCACAACCCCCTAAACACGTCTCGTATTCATCAGGAAGAAACGGCAAATAAGATCGAGGCTGGAACTTCAGTTTAAGTTTCTTGGGTGAACCATTACACTGGAAAAAATAAGAACAATATTTTAAATTGATGTTTTATAATGTGTGTATGTGTGCATGCAGAGGTAAACATATATGTACAGTACCTTTACAAAACTTCATAATAAGGTAAAAATAGAGTATAGTACAGTATGAGATTAAAACATTACAGTGGGTATTCAATGAAGTCAATAACCGTTACCTATATACCATGCTTCACTCATCACTGACACATATGATGAATAAAAAAATGTTCACTGCTGACCTTCGTATACAAGAGGAAATCATCATTAAAAAAAGGCATAAAAACAGAATAACAGCTGTGAAGCAAATGATAGCATATTTGTTAGTTCATCCTCAATAGATTTCTGAAGTGATTAGAGCAATATCTAAGAGTTAAAGATGCATGTTTATTCTCCATTTATGGGCTGGGATCACAAGGCAAACTTATTTGGTAAAATGTATGGTAGAGTTATTATTGAAAGAATTAAGAGTAAGACGGAGAATAGGATAGCAGATGAACAAGGAGGCTTTAGGAAAGGTAGGGGGTGTGTGGACCAGGTGTTTACAGTGAAACATATAAGTGAACAGTATTTAGATAAGGCTAAAGAGGTTTTTGTGGCATTTATGGATTTGGAAAAGGCATACGACAGGGTGGATAGGGGGGCAATGTGGCAGATGTTGCAGGTGTATGGTATAGGAGGTAGGTTACTGAAAGCAGTGAAGAGTTTTTACGAGGATAGTGAGGCTCAAGTTAGAGTATGTAGGAAAGAGGGAGATTATTTCCCAGTAAAAGTAGGCCTCAGACAAGGATGTGTGATGCCACCGTGGTTGTTTAATATATTTATAGACAGGGTTGTAAGAGAAGTAAATGCGAGGGTCTTGGCAAGAGGCGTGGAGTTAGAAGATAAAGAATCACACATAAAGTGGGAGTTGTCACAGTTGCTTTTTGCTGATGACACTGTGCTCTTGGGAGATTCTGAAGAGAAGTTGCAGAGGTTGGTGGATGAATTTGGTAGGGTATGTAAAAGAAGAAAATTAAAAGTGAATACAGGAAAGAGTAAGGTTATGAGGATAACAAAAAGATTAGGTGATGAAAGATTGGGTATCAGACTGGAAGGATAGAGTATGGAGGAGGTGAATGTATTCAGATATTTGGGAGTGGACGTGTCAGCGGATGGGTCTATGAAAGATGAGGTGAATCATAGACTTGATGAAGGAAAAAGGGTGAGCGGTGCACTTAGGAGTCTGTGGAGACAAAGAACTTTGTCCTTGGAGGCAAAGAGGGGAATGTATGAGAGTATAGTTTTACCAATGCTCTTATATGGGTGTGAAGCATGGGTGATGAATGTTGCAGCGAGGAGAGGGCTGGATGCAGTGGAGATGTCATGTCTGAGGGCAATGTGTGGTGTGAATATAATGCAGAGAATTCGTAGTTTGGAAGTTAGGAGGAGGTGCGAGATTGCCAAAACAGTTGTCCAGAGGGCTGAGGAAGGGTTGTTGAGGTGGTTCGGACATGTAGAGAGAATGGAGCAAAACAGAATGACTTCAAGAATGTATCAGTCTGTAGTGGAAGGAAGGCGAGGTAGGGGTCGGCCTAGGAAAGGTTGGAGGGAGGGGGTAAAGGAGGTTTTGTGTGCGAGGGGCTTGGATTTCCAGCGGGCTTGCGTGAGCATGTTTGATAGGAGTGAATGGAGACAAATGGTTTTTAATACTTGACGTGCTGTTGGAGTGTGAGCAAAGTAGCATTTATGAAGAGATTCAGGGAAACCAGCAGGCCGGACTTGAGTCCTGGAGATGGGAAGTACAGTGCCTGCACTCTGAAGGAGGGGTGTTAATGTTGCAGTTTAAAAACTGTAGTGTAAAGCACCCTTCTGGCAAGACAGTGATGGAGTGAATGATGGTGAAAGTTTTTCTTTTTCGGGCCACCCTGCCTTGGTGGGAGTCAGCCGGTGCATTAATAAAAAAAAAATAATTATTTCAACAGTTTTATCAAATGCATTAATATAGTATTTGTGTATCTCAGAGACAGTATTTGAGAGCCACTAATGAGATGACCAGGAGACAGAATGCCACCAATTTGCATATGATGATAATGATGGAGAGAGAGGGAGGGAGGGAGAGGAGAAAGGGGAGGGAGGGGAAAGGGGAGGATATGTTTGTGGCAAAATTCCACTGTTAGCATCATGAAATTGTAATAAAACTGGAACAAATGAGGTGGCTTCCTACCAGCTCCATACTGTCTGCTGGTAGCAGTGGCACAATAGGTCCTGGTTGCACTGTTTATATGTGACACTGAGGCAATGTTATCCGTGATGTACTGTGTGAACCTGCCTGCTTTTACATTCTTTCCCAGGTATGAGGAGTTGGTAGGAGACCTAGTGAATGAGCTGAAGACTAAAATTTTTTTTAAGTGGTATACTTAAAGTGACAAAACTTAATTGTATAAGCACACTGGATACAGATTGGTCCCCCTCCATGTAAGTACACAGACTCAGTTTAAACATTAGGGGTCAAGCCTCAGAGGGAGGAAATGAAGGCACTGGGTCAGAGAACTCTTGATCTAGATGCTACTCAAGAGTAAAGACATTTACATACCCGAGTGCATGACTGCTCACACACGGTAACACCAATTATAGACTCAGGCAGCCACAACACACAGCGACACTGTGGAAAGTTCTGGCATGACAAGTAGTAGCCACTGTTACGCTTTTGCTTCACCACAACATCACATCCACAAGAGGAACACTTACACACCTGTCATAACAAGAAAGATAACATGAAAGATGTAACATCTTAGAAGCAAAACTCTACTGTGACTAACTTAATCAGAAAGACACACATAGTATTTAATGTATGTATTTGCTATACACTGTATTTGCCTGTACAATGTCTGCACTTTAAAGGAAAAGCCACAAAATACAGTAAATACACAGTTTCAAGAGTAGATGTAATAAGGCCCAAGAGGCCAGAAATTAGCGATGCTAATCATAATGACCTAGGTGGGGCCAGAAGCTGAGTCTTGTGTGTGCATGCGTGTGTGTGTGTGTGTGTGTGTGTGTGTGTGTGTGTGTGTGTGTGTGTGTGTGTGTGTGTGTGTGTGTGTGTGTGTGTGTGTGTGTGTGTGTGTGTGTGTGTGTGTGTATGCATGTGTGTGTGTATGCATGTGTGTGTGTATGCATGTGTGTGTGTATGCATGTGTGTGTGTGTGTGTGTGTGTGTGTGTGTGTGTGTGTGTGTGTGTGTGTGTGTGTATGTGTGTATGTGTGTATGTGTGTATGTGTATGTGTATGGTGTGTGTGTGTGTGTGTGTGTGTGTGTGTGTGTGTGTGTGTGTGTGTGTGTGTGTGTGTGTGTGTGTGTGTGTGTGTGTGCACACACACACACATAGAAGGTAATATACTAATGAATACTTACCGGAGTAAACTGTGGGATGTCTGGGATGGGATTGTCCACAGATGGATGCTGTGGTTCCTCGTTAAGGAACTGAGCCAGAGCTGCATCTATTTTACTAGCCTGGAGAGAATAAATTTCTATAAAAAATGAAATACAGTATACAGATTTGTAAAAAATAACGAATACAGATTTATTAAAAAATATAGTACCGGCACTCCTCACTTAACAACCTACCTGTTTAACCCTTTCAGGGCTTCGGCCGTACTAGTACGGCTTACACGCCAGTGTCCATGACGTACTAGTACGCATAAATTCTAGTGCCTTCAAATCTAGTGAGAGAAAGCTTGTAGGCCTTCATATGAAAGAATGGGTCTATGTGGTCAGTGTGCACAGTATACAAAAAAATCCTGCAGCACACAGTGCGTAATGAGAAAAAAAAAACTTTGACCGTGTATCTGGATTAAAACAGCGACTTTGCACTGTATTTTCATATGGTATTTATTGTAGTATTCTAGTTTTTCTGGTCTCATTTTATAGAATGGAAGACATATTACAGAAATTGAGATGATTTTGACTGGTTTTACAATGAAAATTACCTTGAAATTGAGCTCAAAGTAGCAGAAATGTTCGATTTTTACCAAAGTTCAAAAGTAAACAAATCATGCTAAGCGTCCAATACACATCAACTGGTGAGTCTTAATATTCTTTCACAAGAGTGCCGATATTATTTATACCATTTCTACACTAATGCAGTAGTCTGCATAACAGTAAATCTTCTATTTTTTGTGAGAATAAAAATTCAAAATGGAAAGCAAAAGAATGTAGGAGGGGCGTGGAGACGTGACTAATGAACACCGGAAATGTTATTTTAGTGCCAGGAATGTCTTTCTTGTTTATTCTGGACCCTATTTGGAAATTGGCATCTTTTGAAATTTGTGTGAAATTGGCAAAATTGCAAAATTCTGACCACTGTATTGGATAGTTGAAATCGGTAAATGGGTGGTTTCTTGTACTCATTTGATAGAAAAAATGGAGTTCTAGTGAAATAGTTATGATTTTTGTCGACTAGTACAGTGGAACTGGCTGAAAATAGGGCTCAAAGTGCGCAAAATCGCGGATGCGTAAACATCGTCGAGACCGCTAACTTCGTGAGAGCATAATTCCCTAAGTTTTCCATCAAATTTCATACTTTTGGTGTCATTATGATCGGGAAAAGATTCTCTATCTTTTCATAAGAAAAAAAATAATTTTTTTTTTTTTTTGAAATTTGGGGGACCCTGAGAACAAGTCTCTGAGAGGGCCTGTGAACCCTGAAAGGGTTAACAACCAATCGGACTTATGACTGGCTCTCCAACCAGTCAGTATTGGAAACTCTACGAGAACTTTGGTCTTGGAAATGGCAGTGCATCTCAGTGTCAAGCATCTCACCTCACATCACCCTGTCTAAGTTTCAGTCTTGTTCCCTCAGTCAGTATTCACTAACTAAAGTTAGTCAGTCAAGTCAGTAAGTCACTTAGTCCAGTCAGTAAGTCAAGTCAATCAGTTTATTCAGGTAAACATACATATAAATACAGTTATATAAATTATTAGAAGGGAATGTATGAAAGTATAGTGGTACCAACACTCTTATATGGGTGTGAAGCTTGGGTTGTAAATACTGCAGTGAGGAGATGGTTGGAGGCAGTGGAGATGTCCTGTCTAAGGGCAATGTGTGGTGTAAATATTATGCAGAAAATTCAGAGTGTGGAAATTAGGAGAAGGTGTGGAGTTAATAAAAGTATTAGTCAGAGGGCTGAAGTGGGATTGTTGGGGTGGTTTGGTCATTTAGAGAGAATGGATCAAAGTAGAATGACATGGAGAGCGTAAAAATCTGTAGGGGAAGGAAAGCGGGGTGGGGGTTGTCCTTGAAAAGGTTGGAGGGGGGTAAAGGAGGTTTTGTGGGCGAGGGGCTTGGACTTCCAGCAAGCGTGCATGAGCGTGTTAGATAGGGGTGAATGGAGACGAATGGTATTTGGGACCTGACGAGCTGTTGGAGTGTAAGCAGGGTAATATTTCGTGAAGGGATTCAGGGTAACCAGTTATTTTTATATAGCCGGACTTGAGTCCTGGAAATGGAAAGTACAATGCCTGCACTTTAAAGGAGGGGTTTGGGATATTGGCAGTTTGGAAGGATATGTTGTGTATCTTTTTATGTATATGCTTCTAAACTGTTGTATTCTGAGCACCTCTGCAAAAACAGTGATTATGTGTGAGTGAGGTGAAAGTGTTGAATAATGATGACAGCATTTTCTTTTTGGGGATTTTCTTTCTTTTTGGGTCACCCTGCTTCGGTGGGAGACGGTCAACTTGTTAAAAAAAAAAATTATTAGACAGAGCAACATATGTAAAAACTGCACATACTGACTGGTATTCAGGAAGCAATTAAGTTAATCACAAACATGTATCTGAGAATCGTATGGGACATGTATGTATGGACCAATGATCTTAAACTAGCCAAAGAGGTATTACATGTGTTGCAGAATCATCATGTCTGAACAAGCAGAAAGATACAACTGTGGCCGAAATGCGTATTACTTGCCACAGTAAAGTTTATACTTTAGATCTACAAGCACAGTATAGTCCTTTGTCTGGCTTTTTTGGGTTATCCTAGGTAATTTAAACTATGATATCTGTACTTATGTGTATCTGTGAAGATAAAAAAAAAACTTAGTCCTTGATTCTGTTTTAACATTTCAGCAATTATATTTGCTTGGTATATATTTCTTGAAAGACAGGCATCCCTTGAACAGAATGAAGGACTAAGCAAGTTTGTTTAGATACAGGTGTAGAGTACAGTTATGATACATAGTGTAAATTACCTAGGATAACCCAAAAAAAAGTCAAGTGTTATAATATGCTTGTAGATATAAGGCATAAGCATTACTGTGGCAAGTAAGTACTAATACACATTTTGGCCACAGTTGTATCTCTACACTTGTGCAGGCATAACGATTCTGCAACATGTGTAATACCTGTTCAAAAGTCTAGATGACAATCAGGTTCATGAGTGGCTCTCTCTCTAAGACAGAGAGAGAGAGAGACTGGCCAGCTAGCTAGCCAGCTGGTCAGCCAGCCAGCTGAACACATCAGTCAATCAGTTTATTCACGTTAACATACACATAACGGGATTCTTCTGGAAAGCTACACCCAGAACCCCTGCCCTTATCCCTAGAAGTCATTTCGTTTCCTCACTTTCATCTCCCTTACCCGATCCCTCTACACCTCCTGATAACCCTGCTGACAACTCTGATAATGACACTGATGACCTTTTTTTTTTTTTCAACAAGTCAGCTGTCTCCCACCTAGGCAGGATGACCCAAAAAGAAAGAAAATCCCCAAAACGAAAATACTTTCATCATCATTCAACACTTTCACCTCACTCATGCATAATCACTGTTTTTGCAGAGGTGCCCAGATACAACAGTTTAGAAGCATATATAAAGATACAATATAAAAAGTGACCTGAAATAATATAATAAACTATTATTTTTTTTTATTCAGAATAAATAAAAATGATTATCTGTATTTGGAGTATGCAAACAAATAATGTATATTAGAGCTGATTTCCTCTATTCAGTTTATTACAGTATACAGTACACTATTGAATAAACATTTAAAAATATACTAAAAATGTTATAAATGGTGCAAAGGTGACAAAATAATATCTACATATGGCCACTACCAGTACAGTATGCTTGAAATGTCAGTAAGGGGCGGCTCCTCGCTTATCAACCAATTCACTTAATGACCAACTTGTAGGAATGAAACTCAGTAGTTAACCATTTCAGGGTCCATGCCGTAGATCTATTGCTCTACATTGACGGTCCGAACTGTAGATCTACGCCATGAGCTCAGCTCACTCTGATAAGCTCTGAGCGGTAAATTTGGGCCTAGATATGAGAGAATACATCTATGTGGTATGTGTGCACCACATAATACAAATCCTGCAGCACACAGTGCATAATGAGAAAAAACTGAGATCGTAATTTTCTATTAAAACAGCAACTTTGCAGTGCTTTTTCATATGTTTTTTATAGTTGTATTTGCAATTTCTTGGTCTCATTTGATAGAATGGAAGATATATTATAGAAATAGAGATGATTTTGATCGGTTTTAGTATTGGAAATGGCTTGAAACTGAGCTCAAAATAGCGGAAATGTTAAATTTTTGCCGATGTTCAAGAGGAAACAAATGACCTCACACATCCAATACGCGCCTGCTGGTGGGTCTAATAAATGTTCACAAATGTGGTGATATTATTTATACAATTATTACAATATTGCATAACAGTAAATCTTCTATTTTTTGGTTTTAGTAAAAATTCATTATGTGAATAAAAAATCAAAATGGAATTCATTTGTAAAACCCGAAAACGTAACTAATGAACAGAGGAAATGTTAGTTTAGTGCCAGGAATGCCTGCATTGTTTATTTTGAACCCTATTTTGAAATTGGAATATTTTGAACTTTGCATTAAATTGGCCAAATTACCAATTTCCTATCACTTTATTTTGTAGATGAAACAGTTGACTTGACAATTTCTTGTTCTCAATCGATAGAATAGAAGTAATACTAGTGAAATAGCTAAGAATTTGGTCGACTGAAATAATGCAATTGGCCTAAAATGGGAGTCAAAGTTGGCAAAATCGCCGATACGTAAATATCGCTGACACATCAAAATTTGCGAGAGCATAATTTCGTCAATTTTCCATCAAATTTCATACTTTTTGTTTTATTACCTTCAGTAAAAGATTCTCTACCATTTCATAAGAAAAAATAACAAAATTATTTTTTGAAAATTCTTGGACACTGGTGCACACTGAAATTTGGCCTCTGGACCCTGAAAGAGTTAAGTGAGGAGTGACTGTATTGTATCCAACCTTCTTCACTGGGAACAGTGAAAGGGTTAACAGGCACTCGGACAATCACCCCATTAGTCGTTATGTCAAAGCTACATTGTACTGTACACAATTGCCTACCTGCCGTAAAGCTTCCTCGAAGACATGGCGGTATTTTCCAATTTGCTCGTGCAAAACCAACTGTGGATCTTTAGTTCCATCACATATTCTGTAAACATATGGAAGTCAGGTACACTAATACAGTCTTGACAGAACAACTCTTATCTTTGGAAACCAGTTACCTAAATTTTGATTTCATACTAACTCTAAGTCATAAACTTGTACAGCGTCATCCTATGTCTGTCGATGCTTACAATTATAAATGTACATTCACTTGAACTACTACTCTAAACATATTCAACTAATCACTGGGACATTCTATGCCATGTTGACCAACAGTCCCCATCCGACCATCTCAGATTTGCATACTTTTATTATATTTTATTATCACACTGGCCGATTCCCACCAAGGCAGGGTGGCCCGAAAAAGAAAAACTTTCACCATCATTCACTCCATCACTGTCTTGCCAGAAGGGTGCTTTACACTACAGTTTTTAAACTACAACATTAACACCCCTCCTTCAGAGTGCAGGCACTGTACTTCCCATCTCCAGGACTCAAGTCCGGCCTGCCGGTTTCCCTGAACCCCTTCATAAATGTTACTTTGCTCACACTCCAACAGCACGTCAAGTATTAAAAACCATTTGTCTCCATTCACCCTATCAAACATGCTCACGCATGCCTGCTGGAAGTCCAAGCCCCTCGCACACAAAACCCCCTTTTAAACCCCTCCCCCCAAAACCTTTCCTAGGCCGACCCCACCCCGCCTTCCTTCCACTACGACTGATACACCTCTTGAAGTCACTCTTTTTCGCTCCATTCTCTCTACATGTCCGAACCAACCCAACAACCCTTCCTCAGCCCTCTGGACAACAGTTTTGGTATCCCACACCTCCTCCTAACTTCCAAACTATGAATTCTCTGCATTATATTCACACCACACAATGCCCTCAGACATGACATCTCCACTGCCCCCCAGCCTTCTCCTCGCTGCAGCATTCATCACCCATGCTTCACACCCATAAAGAGCTTTGGTAAAACTATACTCTCATACATTCCCCTCTTTGCCTCCAAGGACAAAGTTCTTTGTCTCCACAGACTCCTAAGTGCACCACTCACCCTTTTCCCTCATCAATTCTATGATTCACCTCATCTTTCATAGACCCATCTGCTGACACGTCCCCCCTCCCAAATATCTGAATACATTCACCTCCTCCATACTCCTCTCCCTCCAATCTGATATCCAATCTTTCATCACCTAATCTTTTTTTTATCCCCATAACCTTAATCTTTCCTGTATTCACCTTTAATTTTCTTCTTTGCACACCCTACCAAATTCATCCACCAATCTCTTTCAACTTCTCTTCAGAATCTCCCAAAGCACAGTGTCATCAAAAGAGCAACTGTGACAACTCCCACTTTATGTGCGATTTTTTATCTTTTAATCCACCCTCTTGCCAAGAACCCTCGATTTTACTTCTCTTACAAACCCCCTCTATAAATATATTAAACAACCACGGTGACATCACACATCCTTGTCTAAGGTCTACTTTTACTGGGAAATAATTTCCCTCTTTCCTACATACTCTAACTTGAGCCTCACTATCCTCGTAAAAAAATCTTCACTGCTTTCAGTAACCTACCTCCTACACCATACACCTGCAACATTTGCCACATTGCCCCCTATCCACCCTGTCATACGCCTTTTTTCCAAATCCATAAATGCCACAAAGACCTCTTAGCCTTTTCTAAATACTGTTCACTTATATGTTTCACTGTAAACACCTGGTCCACACACCCCTTACCTTTCCTAAAGCCTCCTTGTTCATCTGCTATCCTATTCTCCGTCTTACTCTTAATTCTTTCAAAAATAACTCTACCATACACTTTACCAGGTATAAATCAACAGACTTATCCCCCTATAATTTTGCACCTCTTTTTGTCCTCTTTGCCTTTATACAAAGGAAATATGCATGCTCTCGCCAATCCCTAGGTACCTTTAACCCTCTTCCATACATTTATTAAATAATTGCACCAACCACTCCAAAACTTATATCCCCACCTGCTTTTAACATTTCTATCTTATCCCATCAATCCCACTGCCTTACCCCTTTCATTTTACCTACTGTCTCACGAACTTCCCCCACACTCACAACTGGCTCTTCCTCGCTCCTACAAGAGTTATTCCTCCTTGGCCCTATACACAAATCACAGCCTTCCCTATCTTTATCAACATTTAACAATTCCTCAAAATTTCCCTCCATCTTTCCCAATACCTCTAACCCCTCCATTTAATAACTCTCCTCTCCTATTTTTAACTGACAAATCCATTTGTTCTCTAGGCTTCCTTAACTTGTTAATCTCACTCCAAAACTTTTTCTTATTTTCAACAAAATTTGTTGATAACATCTCACCCACTCTCTCATTTGCTCTCTTTTTATATTGCTTCACCAATCTCTTAACCTCTCTCTTTTTCTTCCATATACTCTTCCCTCCTTGCATCACTTCTACTTTGTAAAAATTTCCCCATATGCTAAAATTTTTCTCCCCCTTTCTACTCTCTTTACATCATCATTCCACCAATCGCTCCCCTTCCCTCCCGCACCCACCTTCCTGTAACCACAAACTTCTGCTGAACACTCTAACACTACATTTTTAAACCTACCCCATACCTCTTCGACCCCAAATTTCCTATGCTCTCATTACCCATCTATCCTCCAATATCTGTTATAAATCTTACCCTAACTGCCTCCTCTTTTAGTTTATAAACCTTCACCTCTCTCTTCCCTGATACTTCTATTCTCCTTGTATCCCATCTATCTTTTACTCTCAGTGTAGCTACAACTAGAAAGTGATCTGATATATCTGTGGCCCCTCTATAAACATGTACATCCTGAAGTCTACTCAAAAGTCTTTAATCTACCAATACATAATTCAACAAACTACTATCATTTTTGCCCTACATCATATCTTGTATACTTATTTATCCCCTTTTTCTTAAAATATGTATTACCTATAACTAAACCCCTTCCATACAAAGTTCAATCAAAGGGCTCCCATTATCATTTATACCTGGCACCCCAAACTTACCTACCACACCCTCTCTAAAAGTTTCTCCTACTTTAGCATTCAGGTCCCCTACCACAATTATTCTCTCACTTGTTCAAAGGCTCCATACATTCACTTAACATCTCCCAAAAATCTCTCTCCTCTACATTCCTCTCTTCTCCAGGTGCATACACGCTTATTATGACCCACTTCTCGCATCCAACTTTTACTTTAATCCACATAATTCTTGAATTTACACATTCATATTCTCTTTTCTCCTTCCATAACTGATCATTCAACATTACTGCTACCCCTTCCTTTGCTCTAAGTCTCTCAGATACTCCAGATTTAATCCCATTTATTTCCCCCCACCGAAACTCCCCTACCCCCTTCCTACCTCCCCTCAAACATCTCCTTGCCAACCTCAACAGAACACATGACCATAACACAAGGCACAGATCACTCTTTGATGTTCCTCGTGTCCATCTCACGCTATGCAAAAACTCAATGCACATAAAAGGCCCTAAAATCTGGAATTCATTACCTGTAAATATAAAAGAAACACTACCTGTTTATAAATTCAAGTCTCTTCTCAAAGATCACTTACTCACTCAAAACCAAATAAATACTGAATAACTGAACCTTATAAATTGTATATCCTATATGTTACTCACAATTATATCACACATATGTTAAACCTAGGACCCAATCTAAACTTTATATTTTTTTAAATACACTACCTAACAGAATACTCCATTCGACTGAATGTACAGCAATGCAAGCAACCATATGACCTGTCTTTGTAATACTCATTTGTGCTTTATAGTTATCTGTTTACAATAATGTTTTATCACTGATTTCATCATTGCTTAGTTAATCTTAAGTTAATTTTAAGCCAGCCCGTAATGCTATGCATATAAGTGGCTTTGGCATGCTGCTCTTACCTGTATTTTTTGTACCTCTGTTTGTATGCTTAAATTACTAAATAAATAAATAAATAAATTCATAACATCAGCAATCATCTGTTTCTTGTCATCCGCACTACATCCACGCACATTCAAGCATCCCAGTTTTATAAAGTTTTTCTTCTTCTCTTTTTTAGTACATGTCTACAGGAGAAGGGGTTACTAGCCCATTGCTCCCGGCATTTTAGTCACCTCATACGACACGCATGGCTTACGGAGGAAAGATTCTTTTCCACTTCCCCATGGACAATAGAAGAAATAAAGAAGAACAAGAGCTATTTAGAAAAAGGAGAAAAACCTAGATGTATGTATATATATATATATGCATGTGCGTGTCTGTGAAGTGTGACCAAAGTGTAAGTAGGAGTAACAAGATATCCCTGTTATCTAGCGTGTTTATGAGACAGAAAAAGAAACCAGCAATCCTACCATCATTCAAAACAGTTACAGATTTCTGTTTCACAGTCATCTGGCAGGACGGTAGTACTTCCCTGGGTGGTTGCTGTCTACCCAACCTACTACCTATGAATATATATACATTATGCATATACATTATACAGGTGCAACACAAGTTTCCCATAGAAGATGGTTTAGCACCTCTCTTAGTCCAGACAAAATTATGAGAGGGCATTAAATAAAAACTTACCTATTAAATAAACATTCTTAAGTAAGGCTTGAAGGAAACAAGTGTTTGAAGAAGTTACCACTTAATGCTTCCATAAAAACTAAGAAAGGTACTGCATCCTGAAAACATGAATATGGCTAATGCTTCTCATCACTAGAGCCTTTCAACTATGTATTAAATCTCTGGTTCTTGACCAGTCTTCACTAAATAAATGTGAGCTCTCTATACATATACAGGCATACCTCGCTAATACTGCAGGTTAGGTTCCAGACCACAGCCATAAAGCAAATCACAGCTTGTTTTTAACTTACAAGTGCATATAAAAACCTAAAAACATGCTTACATTATCATTTATTAGTGCTAGGCCTAAAAAAGTGAAGTGAAGTATTAGCCGGTACTTGTCCCGGCACGGGTCTTTTCCAGATGGTGATCCGGCGGTGGCCCCCCCCCCCCAGGTGGTGTCACTCATCTTCTTTCTTCTGTCCTGAGCGGACGTCTTGCCGTGGTCCCTCCAGCTGGAGGGTGACATTTGTCTTCTTCAATCTTGCAATGGCTCACCGGGGTGGGGAGTATCCGTAGTCATCTTTGGTAGTAGTCTTCTTTCTTCTTTCTCTTGCTCTGGTCACATCTTGGTAAGCATGCATCCTCTTGAGTCTTCAGACACTTGCTGTCCCAGCTAGTGTTGTGATTCTGAGGAGGTTATCTCAGCAGTGGCGGAGTACGTCTCAGTATCAATGAATCCGAGTCACTGCCTAAAAAAGATGCAAAAGAAAACATAACGCATAAAAAGGCTACAGCACTGTGTTTCTAACCTTAAAATACTTTTGTTCTTTGCTTTGTTTTTGCTTTGCATATAGCAAGCCTACTTGCTGTTGAATGGTAGGCCTACTTGCTGTTGAATGGTAGGCCTACTTGGTGTTGAAGGTTACAGTGGCTGTGGCACTTTCTTAATATAAGACAACAATGAAGTTTGCCTCACTGACTGATGCTTCCTTTCACAAAGGATTTCTCTGTAATATGCTACAGCACTAGCTGTTGTAATGTTGTGGAGATGGCTTCTCTGTAGTATGCTACAGCACTAGCTGCTGTAATGTTGTGGAGATGGCTTCTTTTCTTAAACCTTATGAACGAACCTCTGCTAGCTTCAAACCTCTCTTCTACAGCTGCCTTGCCTCTCTCTCAGTCTTTACAGATATAACAAGAGTTAGAACTTTCCTCTGGATTATGCCTTGGCTTAGAGGAATGTTGTGGCTGGTTTGATCTTCTGTCTGGGCCACTAAAACTTTTTCCACACCGGCAATAAGACTGTCTCACTTTTTTTTATCACTTTCATGTTCACTAGAGTAGTACATGTACTTTTAATTTATTTTAAGAATTTCTCCTTTGAGCTCACTACTGTGCTAAATGCTCAGTGCGCCAAACCCATCTTACAGCTTATCTTGGCACTACACATGCCTTTCTCATTAAGCTTGATCATTTCTAGTTTATGATTTAAAGTAACAGACTTACAACTCATCTTTTCACTAGAATTAAGCTTAGGGACCACTGTACTGTAATTAATAATAATGATAATAACAATGGCAAGTAAAAAGTCAAAATTTTGAAAATTAGCAGAATGACACTTGAGATCCAAAGTGCACAAATGCTGTAAACAGACTGAGTACAGCTAATAATATGGTGCCAGTCAGCCTATGTGCACATCACCACTGAAAATAAACATGAATATAATTGAAAAGCACTATATAACTGAAGCGCCCTAAAGCGAAGCACTGTATTAGCGAGGCATGCCCCCAAGCATTCATAAAGGGGATTACCAATAGACCCTTGGCTGTCTTCAAGAGGGAGCTAGACAGGCACCTAAAGTCAGCTCCTGACCAACTGAGCTGTGGTTCATATGTCGGTTTGTGTGTGACCAGCAGTAACAGCCTGGTTGATCAGGCCCTGATCCACCACGAGGCCTGGTCATGGACCGGGCTGCAAGGACACTGAACCCCAGAACACCCAAGTATATTCCTGGCATACCCAAAATCAAATATCAAAAAAATCTTTTTTTTTTTTTTTTTTTTTACCTTTTTAGGTCTGCTTCTAATTCTGCTCGCAAATTGGGCTTTGACATATGGAAGCCCATAGAATCATAGCCTTCCACTAAGCCCATACCAAGCTGGCCTGGCACAAATCTCGTGTCTTGCAGCCCAACGTACATTCGTGACTTAATAGTCTCTATGTGATCTGCATGAGTAGCATCCGTTCCTGCCAAGCAAACAAAGCTATCACAGTACTGTAGGTACAAACCTTTAACAGCACTGATGTGCTATATACAAAAGAGTGGCACAAGTTAAATTAAATAAGATAGTACAAGAAGTATATTAAATAAACTAAAATATGCATACAATAAAAACCATCTGAACTAAATTGATCAATAATTAAAAAAAAAATCTAAACAAAATACAGGCACTCCCTACTTAATGAATTACCTGTTTAACAACTGCTCAGACTTATGACCTAGTCTTTCTGACCAGTTGGTAATGTACAATGTACGAGGAAATGGTTGTGCAGCATCAAGCAAATCTCCAAGACTACATATTTCGTCTCTAAATTTGTACTTTATTCTGCACCCCATAGTATAAGATAGAATTGGAAGTGCAGCAGTACTTGGAAGAGAAAGAAGAAGAAGAAGCAGAATAAAGACTGGAAGAAATACAAAAAGGTTCACTGTAAAGGAATTAGCTGGTGTGTTCGTCTGTTTGTTTACATTTTCAGCGTCTCTCTCTCATTTACGATGGCATCTAAGGGTTAGTTAGTTTGTACAGGTACACTTAAATACAGTTATGTATACGTACAGTGGTACCTTAGGATACGAACAGCTTAAAACTTGAACAATTATGTAAGTGTATTTATGTAAGTGCTTTTGTAAGTGTATTTTTTGGGAGTCTGAAATAGATTAATCTAATTTACATTATTCCTTATGGGAACAAATTCTTTCAGTATCGGCACTCAAACAGCCTTCTGGATCGAATTAAGTTCATATCCCGAGGTACCACTGTACAGTGGACCCCCGCTTAACGATCACCTCCCAATGCGACCAATTATGTAAGTGTATTTATGTAAGTGCGTTTGTACGTGTATGTTTGGGGGTCTGAAATGGACTAATCTACTTCACAATATTCCTTATGGGAACAAATTCAGTCAGTACTGGCACCTGAACATACTTCTGGAATGAAAAAATATCGTTAACCAGGGGTCCACTGTATTATCATACATAGCAGCATAGGTGTAGATTACCTACAATAACCTAAAAATGTTAAAGTGAATTTTCTGGGTTATCCTAGGTACATGTATGTAATATGCACATACGCCGCTTAGATCCCATCATAAATGAGAGAGAGATGCCGAGAATATAAACAAACAGACGAACACACCAGCTAACCCCTTTACAGTGAACAAGGTATGTCAATGGTGATAATAATTTTTTATTTTTTTTTATTATCACACTGGCCGATTCCCACCAAGGCAGGGTGGCCCGAAAAAGAAAAACTTTCACCATCATTCACTCCATCACTGTCTTGCCAGAAGGGTGCTTTACACTACAGTTTTTAAACTGCAACATTAACACCCCTCCTTCAGAGTGCAGGCACTGTACTTCCCATCTCCAGGACTCAAGTCCGGCCTGCCGGTTTCCCTGAACCCCTTCATAAATGTTACTTTGCTCACACTCCAACAGCACGTCAAGTATTAAAAACCATTTGTCTCCATTCACTCCTATCAAACACGCTCACGCATGCCTGCTGGAAGTCCAAGCCCCTCGCACACAAAACCTCCTTTACCCCCTCTCTCCAACCTTTCCTAGGCCGACCCCTACCCCGCCTTCCTTCCACTACAGACTGATACACTCTTGAAGTCATTCTGTTTCGCTCTATTCTCTCTACATGTCCGAACCACCTCAACAACAATTCCTCAGCCCTCTGGACAACAGTTTTGGTAATCCCGCACCTCCTCCTAACTTCCAAACTACGAATTCTCTGCATTATGTTCACACCACACATTGCCCTCAGACATGACATCTCCACTGCCTCCAGCCTTCTCCTCGCTCCAACATTCATCACCCATGCTTCACACCCATATAAGAGCATTGGTAAAACTATACTCTCATACATTCCCCTCTTTGCCTCCAAGGACAAAGTTCTTTGTCTCCACAGACTCCTAAGTGCACCACTCACTCTTTTCCCCTCATCAATTCTATGATTCACCTCATCTTTCATAGACCCATCCGCTGACACGTCCACTCCCAAATATCTGAATACATTCACCTCCTCCATACTCTCTCCCTCCAATCTGATATTCAATCTTTCATCACCTAATCTTTTTGTTACCTCATAACCTTACTCTTTCCTGTATTCACCTTTAATTTTCTTCTTTTGCACACCCTACCAAATTCATCTACCAATCTCTGCAACTTCTCTTCAGAATCTCCCAAGAGCACAGTGTCATCAGCAAAGAGCAGCTGTGACAACTCCCACTTTGTGTGTGATTCTTTATCTTTTAACTCCACGCCTCTTGCCAAGACCCTCGCATTTACTTCTCTTACAACCCCATCTATAAATATATTAAACAACCACGGTGACATCAAAACATCCTTGTCTAAGGCCTACTTTTACTGGGAAAAAATTTCCCTCTTTCCTACATACTCTAACTTGAGCCTCACTATCCTCGTAAAAAACTCTTCACTGCTTTCAGTAACCTACCTCCTACACCATACACTTGCAACATCTGCCACATTGCCCCCCTATCCACCCTGTCATACGCCTTTTCCAAATCCATAAATGCCACAAAGACCTCTTTAGCCTTATCTAAATACTGTTCACTTATATGTTTCACTGTAAACACCTGGTCCACACACCCCCTACCTTTCCTAAAGCCTCCCCGTTCATTTGCTATCCTATTCTCCGTCTTACTCTTAATTCTTTCAATAATAACTCTACCATACACTTTACCAGGTATACTCAGCAGACTTATCCCCCTATAATATTTTTGTACTCTCTTTTATCCCCTTTGCCTTTATACAAAGGAACTATGCATGCTCTTTTGCCAATCCCTAGGTACCTTACCCTCTTCCATACATTTATTAAATAATTGCACCAACCACTCCAAAACTATATCCCCACCTGCTTTTAACATTTCTATCTTTATCCCATCAATCCCGGCTGCCTTACCCCCTTTCATTTTACCTACTGCCTCACGAACTTCCCCCCACACTCACAACTGGCTCTTCCTCACTCCTACAAGATGTTATTCCTCCTTGTCCTATACACGAAATCACAGCTTCCTATCTTTATCAACATTTAACAATTCCTCAAAATATTCCCTCCATCTTCCCAATACCTCTAACTCTCCATTTAATAAACTCTCCTCTCCTATTTTTAACTGACAAATCCATTTGTTCTCTAGGCTTTCTTAACTTGTTAATCTCACTCCAAAACTTTTTCTTATTTTCAACAAAATTTGTTGATAACATCTCACCCACTCTCTCATTTTCTCTCTTTTTACATTGCTTCACCACTCTCTTAACCTCTCTCTTTTTCTCCATATACTCTTCCCTCCTTGCATCACTTCTACTTTGTAAAAACTTCTCATATGCTAACTTTTTCTCCCTTACTACTCTCTTACATCATCATTCCACCAATCGCTCCTCTTCCCTCCCGCACCCACTTTCCTGTAACCACAAACTTCTGCTGAACACTCAAACCACTACATTTTTAAACCTACCCCATACCTCTTTGACCCCATTGCCTATGCTCTCATTAGCCCATCTATCCTCCAGTAGCTGTTTATATCTTACCCTAACTGCCTCCTCTTTTAGTTATAAACCTTCACCTCTCTCTTCCCTGTACTTCTATTCTCCTTGTATCCCATCTCCCTTTTTTACTCTCAGTGTAGCTACAACTAGAAAGGATCTGATTATCTGTGGCCCTCTATAAACATGTACATCTGAGTCTACTCAACAGTCTTTTATCTCCAATACATAATCCAACAAACTATTGTCATTTCGCCCTACATCATATCTTGTATACTTATTTTTTCCTCTTTTTCTTAAAATATGTATTACCTTATAACTAAGCCCCCTTTCTATACAAAGTTCAATCAAAGGGCTCCCATTATCATTTCACCTGGCATCCCAAACTTACCTACCACACCTCTCAAAAAGTTTCTCCTACTTTAGCATTCAGGTCCCCTACCACAATTACTCTCTCACTTTGGGTTTAAAGGCTCCTATACATTCACTTAACATCTCCCAAAATCTCTCTCTCTCCTCTGCATTCCTCTCTTCTCCAGGTGCATACACGCTTATTATGACCCACTTCTCGCATCCAACCTTTACTTTTAATCCACATAATTCTTGAATTTACACATTCATATTCTCTTTTCTCCTTCATAACTGATCATTCAACATTACTGCTACCCCTTCCTTTGCTCTACTCTCTCAGATACTCCAGATTTTAATCCCATTTATTTCCCCCCACTGAAACTCCCCTACCCCCTTCAGCTTTGTTTTGCTTAGGGCCAGGACATCCAACTTCTTTTCATTCATAACATCAGCAATCATCTGTTTTTTGTCATCCGCACTACATCCACGAACATTTAAGCATCCCAGTTTTATAAAGTTTTTCTTCTCTTTTTTAGTAAATGTCTACAGGAGAAGGGGTTACTAGCCCATTGCTCCCGGCATTTTAGTCGCCTCATACGACACGCATGGCTTAATAAGGAGGAAAGATTCTTTTCCACTTCCCCATGGACAATAGAAGAAATAAAGAAGAACAAGAGCTATTTAGAAAAAGGAGAAAAACCTAGATGTATGTATATATATATGCATGTGCGTGTCTGTGAAGTGTGACCAAAGTGTAAGTAGGAGTAGCAAGATATCCCTGTTATCTAGCGTATTTATGAGACAGAAAAAGAAAACAGCAATCCTACAATCATGCAAAACAGTTACAGGTTTCTGTTTCACAGTCATCTGGCAGGACGGTAGTACTTCCCTGGGTGGTTGCTGTCTACCAACCTACTACCTATAATGATGTGATAATAATATTAATAATATTATTATCACATCACTCATACATAATCACCATCTTTACAGAGGTGCTCAGATAATGATAATAATATTATTAATATTATTATCATTATCTGATGTGTAATGTCACCATGGTTGTTTAACATATTTATAGATGGAGTTATAAAAGAATTAAATGCTAGGG